GGATACCCAGTTCCAAGAATAGGGGACCCATAATGAACCCTCCACCTAGGCCAAGCAGCCCCCCAACAACACCAGCAACCATCCCAAGGCAGCAGTAAGCAATCAATTGCCCTGTTCTCAAGTTGGAGGGGCCTGAATCACCCTTAGATGAAATCTGTCTCCACCCTTTGTATAACCCTATACCTTCATACATAGATACCCCTACAGAAACTGGGATCTGCATTGATAATAGAAGGTTAAAAAAGAAAAAAAACTAATCTGGGTGAAAATTAAATACCTGAAATAAAACACGTATTGTCCTAATTTTGGACCAAACAAACCTGCAACAGATTCACCACCCAGTATAGAGTGGAACAAGTTGTTGCAAAATTCTGTAACCAAAAAACAAAGCAGGTGAGTCAAAGGATGATTATGTTACTGGACAAAGATCTACTCTGAGGAAATTCCCGACAGTAACTGAAACAACTAAAGAAACAGACCTTTGTGATTTGAAGAGCAAGAAAAGCAACCCAAACAAAACAAAGGAGTCCAAATTCCTTCCAATAAACGTTCTCAATTATAGAGACCTAAATTGAAAATAAAATAAGTATTTATATAGTAAGGAGTATAAACATATGTTTGAGCTTGAACAATCTTAGAAGATTGACTGTTAAATTTAATTCACCTCTTTCCGAGAAGATTCTTTGGAAGTGTCATGACTGCCATTGCTAGGGCCACCAGGAAGAACCTTGTACTCTACTTGTCCACTTCCTGAAAAAATGTAGCATGCCAAATGTGTAAACTTTGAGAGATATGTTACAATCTTTTTACTCATTATCTTTGTTTGTATATGGGGAAAGGGAGCCACAAAGCAAGATCCTTTACACTATGTTTGGTTCAAGGAATTTGGAAGAAAAGAAAAGAAAATGGTTTTCTCTCATTTTCCTCACCAAAATGGGAGGAATTTGATTTTCCCTCCTCTTAATATATTTTGTCTTCTCATTTCCTTTTCCTTCCACTTTTCTTTTCTTTTCCTCTCTATCCAAACAAGAAATGCTATTTTCCATCTCATTTTCTTTTCTTTTCCATTTTAAATTCCTTGAACCAAACATAGTGTTAAGGTATCTCCCAACAAAGAAAGATAACAAACTCACCATCTGGTGCTAACAGTTGGGCAGCCTCCTGAACCCAAAAATGGAAAACCAGATAAATCTAAAAATCAATACGGGACAAGTAAACAAACAAAAAAAGGCCAGAAAAAGAAGACCTTTTTAATAATTGTCTCTTTCTTCCATGTCTCAACACCTCTCAAGAAGGCCTTGGTTGAAGTGCCTGAAAACTCCAATTAGAGGCCTAATTCAATTGGAGCAGAGACTGAGCAGAGTGGACTCAATTAATAGAGTGAGTTACCTGTGAATAGAATTATAAGCAGAACTGTGACCATCCAATCTGCAAAGATCACATTGAAAGCGACTCCAATACTAATTCCAAGCATTAACATAGGCTGAATGAGCAATGCCAAGTCATAATCAATAATCGGCATATCAATCGTAGGGTGTTTGAGCTTAAGATTATAGTAAACTGTGGAAACTGCAGCTCCCATGATCATACCTGCCAAACCAGAATATTATATATCAAGATTTCGAACAATATCAGGCATTGATAACTTTTTCTATACAGATTTGTTTTTTGTTTATAAAACAAAATAAACTTATGTCAACATAAAATTGGCTATCTGCTCCGCATTATAGCTGAAGAAAATTGTTCAATGAATGTAAATAAATATTGCATCTTACACTTTGAAATTGCTGTAGCTGATTTCGGGTCAAATCCTATAATAAGAGTAAGCATGGGAACAAATATGCCACCCCCTCCTACACCACCTACACTGCCAAATGCTGCTCCCAAGAAACCAATTACGCTGCCGACAAGTATTTTCCATCCAAATTTTATTTCCTGTAACAAGATTAAAAGTTGACAAGAATAAGAATCTTTCCTATACAATATTACATAACCGTGAATACTTAATGCCAATGAGGTTTTTTAAAACACATGATATGATGGGCTAATCCAATGAGAACACTATGGGTACAAACTACAAAGTGAATTCAGTTCACAGCCCACCTATTATACACGATGCCCAAACTCGACTCAGTGCGCATCACAATTATTTCAAATGCTCAACCTCTAAAAGGTTTGAGGAAAAGGCACATATAGCACAGTATCTCCACTATCCATGTTATTATCTCATTAACTAGAGCTTATTCTATACTACTATATACAATCTTGGGTATCTCCTCATTTGTCAAACATTAATTATGTTAGAGTTTATTTTATTTTAGTTGGCATAAAATAAAACAAGAAAATCAAAAGAAAAATTAAAGGAAGGATTGCCTTGAATATAAGAGCTCGCCCAATTTTTATATATATATATATATATATATATATATATATATATATATATTTGTGTGTGTGTGTGTGTATCAGCAACCAAAGTGTCACAATGGAAAATGTGAAAAGTCAAATGAGAACATTATTTTGGGGACAGAGGGAGTGTATACACACACATTCCCTCAAAACCATTTTTAAACAACACTCCCTCAAAACTCTATTCAATGACTAGTTTTATTTTTTTATATGTTATTTTCCACTCCGTATTTAGTATTGTAGATTTGTAATGGCTTATGTTTTTTTAGAGAATATATTATTTCCTATTTGTATTGTAATATAAATTTAATTTGATGAGGGTCATCTAATTTTTAATAATTTTTTGTTTATATTTTTTTCATGATAGCTTGTCAATATTACGAATAAAAAAATTAAATATGCAGAAAATTTTGAAAAAAGTAAAATAATTATGCGATATCTTTTGAATTTTGTATGAATATATAAAATTATACATTAAAAACGAGTAGTAAGCAAAGAAATATAATTAAAATCTTATTTTTATAACAATAGATTACATACTAAAACATAGTAAGATTTTGAAAAATTCTTACATTAGCGGGTTGGATCGGGTTCGTGTTTGGGTTCGGGTGGGTTTGACCCATTTTTAACAGGTAATTTCGGGTTCGGTAAACTTCGGGTTCGGTCAGTAAAACCTTTGTTCAAAACCCAGTATTTTCGGGTCGGGTCTCGGGTCACAAACAAATCGGATCATTTTTTGTCAGGTCTAAGGAAAAGTACGAAATTAGTGAAATCTGACGCGCTACGATGTGGAGGAGAGATGATGTAGTAAGCAAGATATGAACTTTTCCCTTAGTTTCTAAATACGCAAGTTTTATTTCTGTACCTACCAATCTTTTAAATAAAATGAATTGAAAAAATTTGAAAAAACTTTGAAATTTCGCTTCTTTATACTCTATTAATGATGACTCCCAGACAAAACATACATATTCCACATTGAAAAGAGCATTTTGTGGGCACAGAGCAACTTGCCCTAATTCCCTTTGCCTCACACTTTTTATCACGCAGGTGCATATGTTCAGCAGCAGTATTTAAAAAATTAAGAACTCTACCAGTCCGAATAAAGCACCGATGAGGGACGAATTATAACGAAGAATTACCGGCCAGACGTGCTCGAAACCGGATTTATTTGACTGCCACAGGAAATTGACGAACGACGACCGGCGATCCGCGCCGGAACAGTGCGCAGCGCGGTGGTTCGGAGCTTCTTCCCTCTTCAAACTCCTCTCAGCCGAAACGAATATTGAGGCGAGGAGGAAACTCCATGAAATCGAAACCAGCGGCCTCAGAATCCGCCGCCATTTACATCTCACTCCCGCCATTCGATTCCAGATCTCCCTATTAAAAAAACCAGAGGAATCCGAATTTCAAAAGCTATAGAGAGCGGAGGCGGCCGGCGGGTGGGAGAAATGACAGTTCAATTGCCCCCCGTGTGAGAGGGAGATGGAGGGATTTAATGCGGACGGAAATGGATAATTCAATGTTTCTTCTCCATAAAGAGTGATTAATGATTACTGTACCAAACTAAGGACAAATATTGACACTTCTATAAACGGAGTTTGTGAATAAATAGACAACTCTCCCTCCTCTTCTTCTTCTAGATATTTTGGTTAGTGTTTGACCTAACAACAACAACCCAATTCAATTTCACAAGAGTAGGATCTGGTGAGGATGTGTGTACGCAGACATTACCCATACTCGAAAGTAGAGAGACTGTTTTCAAATATACCCCCAGCTCAACGTCGAAAGTTGCATTGCTGACTAACTGTTACTTCATTAATTAAAGAAGCGCAAACAGTTTAGAGATCCATTTTGATTTATTCCATCATACCCCAAAGCCAAAAATGGTGAAATTTTGGCTCCATCGGAGATGATGGAATAAGTGTTTGACATAAGAGTCCTATAAATACGAGATCACGAGTTTGAAATTTGGTTCCTGCGATTAGAACAATCATGCATAATATGGGCCTCCGGAATACTATACATGAAACTTTACTCATATGTGACTGATATTAAATTTTAATTTACCTTTCTCTCAATTTACTATATGAAAGTTTGATAATGAACTCCCATCCAAAGAGGGAAGGCTAAAGAGCCTAGGTTGAGCTGGGTATCGGTAGAGCCTAGGCAAATCTGTCGGTCAGGTCGGATTCGAGTCTGGTCACTTCGAGTTCAGGTTATTTTTTGTTCAGGTCAATTCGAGTTCGGGTTGAGAATTCTATGTTTATGACCCAGTGTCATCGGGTTTGGGTCGATCCAACGGTTATGACTTTGGTTTTTTAAATTTTTAAATTTACATTAACACTTACATTTTATATTTAATAAATTTAAAATATCAAAAAAAGTATTAAATCTATTAGATCATTTTATTTTAAAATCATAAATAATTTTTAGATATATAAATCAATGTAAACAAATTAGAAAATGTTTAATTTTTGGAAAAAAGTAAGATAATTATGCAATATCATTAAAATTTTATCTGAAAATATAAATTTATACACGAAAAACGAGTAGTAAAGTGTATGATTTTGAAATATTCTTAATTTAGCGAGTCGGTCAGGTCGAGTTCGGGTTCGGTCAGGTTTGACCCATTTTTAGTGGGTCATTTCGGGTTTGATCATCAAAACATTTATTCAGAATCTAGTGTTTTCAGGCCGGGTATCGGGTCAAAAAAGATCGGGTCATTTTTTGCAAAAGGTCTAATTAGAACCATGGGTCACCCACTTGTTCTTCTGTTCGTTTTTCTGTCAAAAGAGCAATTCCGGAAAATTTACTATTTTCCCCTCAAAAACAATGCTCCGACTACAACTGCTACTTCGGCAGCCTATGCTCGACAGCCATGGCCGCCTATCGTTGTCAGCGCCGCCGCCACGCCCTCCGCTCATTTCACTGTCTTGGAAGTCTCTCACTCCTCCGTCTTCTTCCCGTCTCAAGCTCAATTTCCCATTTCGAACTTCCCCGTCTCGCCTCTTCTGTAATTTGAAGGACTCAGGTGAAATTCCTCTTCTCGCCATAGATCCACACAGACTTCCTTATTTCAATTCGAATTTCGGAATCGTTTGAGTTTTTGAGTTTTGGGGTTCGAATTGACTTTAACATGTTTGCAGTCGATTGGCTTGCAATTTGGGAAGCTTGTTGCGATATCTCATGTTCGTCTATGAGTTGCTTTGGTGAATGTTAAATTTGAGTGGAATTATTGCTAATTACTGTCCAGTTAGTTTTTCTCTTTGAGGTTATGTTTTTCTATGAGTTTATATGGTTGAATGTTCATTTCAGATGTTAGTCAAGAACACTGTACATTGATATAAAACTAATACTGTTCCTTGTTGCCTAAGTTTGTAGCGTTTTTGTGCTTTTGGTTGAGCCGATGGTCTCTTGGTTGTGTTTACTTTATCTGTGCATTTGTGTTGACCACACATAAAATGCTACCATCACATCTATGAATATTATTACATGTAAAGATATAAAAGAACATTCAATCTTTTGATATTTTGTTCAGATATTACATCACAGCTGGAACTTGGGAAGCCCGTCGAGAAGCACAAGCCACAGAAGCGTGTGAATGGAATTTTCTGGATTCTACTCATAAACCTTGGAATATATGTTGCTGATCACATTTTCCAGGTCATTTTAAATCCTTTACATGGTGTACTTTGCTTTCTTCTGAAACTTAAACGGATTAAACAATTTTACTTCTCATGAAAAGGGTTCATACTTTGTTCTGTAATGATATCTCAGTAAATTTGTCCGCTGCTTGATCTAAAAGCAAATGTTGTCCAGGCTCGGGGCATAAGAGCATTGTATTTATACCATAATCATCCTGCTTGGTATCAGTTTGCAACTGCCACATTCTGTCATTTCAACTGGTAAGAAATGCCCAAGATTTATGGTGGAAGTATAATACTCCGTACTAAACGTACAAAGCATTTGTTTTAGCTTATCCCCAAAACCCCTTATTGTTTGACTTTTTTCTTATATTCATCGCTTCCCAGGAATCATTTATCAAGCAACCTCTTCTTCTTGTATATTTTTGGTGCGATACCTTCCTTGATCACATATCACCAACAGTTTCATACTTGATGCGTTCATAGCAGCCAAATTGCAATCCCCATGTCGAGTAAAATTTCTGCTTTTCAGGAAAGCTTGTCGAAGAGGAAGAAGGAAGCTTTGCATTATGGTTTTCTTATCTAATAACCGGGGTCGGGGCAAACATTGTTTCTTGGCTAGTTCTTCCTAGAAATGCTGTTTCTATTGGGGCATCTGGTGCCGTATTCGGACTCTTTGCTATTAGCGTACTCGTGAAGGTTGTTATCAATTATCATATCACATTTTGAATGCAGATTCTGGCTAAACGATTATATAAAGAGTGAGTCCATTTTGACACCACTCCATTTGGTGTAAACCAGTTCAATTGGGGCACGTACAGTGCTCCAATCGTAAAATTGATAGTTCATACCTCCTAAACCCCTCTGCACCCCCTCTACCCTTCCCTTAACTACTGATTTAGGAGATTAAAGTGTATCATATTCCATCCCTGTTGTAAATCATCCAAGAGCTTGAAAACTTCTGAAGTCTTAAAACATTGTCTGCTTGATGCAGATGTCTTGGGATTGGAGGAAGATTCTCGAAGCGCTTATATTGGGCCAATTTGTGGTGGAAAGGGTATTGAATTTTTTTGACGATTAAACCCAATCTGTTAATATGGCCGAGTTGGTGTTGAATTACTTCATTTTTAAGTGGATCAGGTGATGGAAGCCGCCCAAGCTTCAACGGCATTGCCAACCGGTTTTAATGGAGGCTATGCACTACAGACAGTCAATCACATTGCACATCTCTCAGGTGCGTTAATCGGTGTAGCTCTCATATGGCTCCTAAGCCAGATCCCTTCGGAACCATCTGAAACACATGCGAAGAAGAAGAATTGAAGAAGATCTAACTAGCTGTTTCGCCGAATGCATTGCTTTGCTTAATTAAAATATATATAGGTCCTTGACAAGGTCCCTGTGTCCGAATTTGTCACGGATTAGAAACCGAGGCAGGCCAAAAGGTGCTCTGCCTCTAATACTATAAGGGTCCGTTTGGTACACAGAATTGGCAGAATTTTAATTGAGCACTATGTAGTGGTGTGCACACGTGGTATGCCACGTGTCATCACACAACAAGTTAACTCACTACTAGCTAGAATTTCACCCTATTAGGTGCAGATAATTAGAGGGGACGATTCCGCCGCTAATTAGTGGCGAATTAGTGGGAGACTGTTTCCCCTCTATTTGAAAATTTAATTAATGCAATGGAGGTTTTTTCCGCCGCTAATGTCGTAGCTAATTGAAATAAAATACCCGAATATATACGGGAAAATAAATAAAAATTAAAAAGGACAGTCAAAGAAAGTCTGAAATTAATTTTTAAAATAAAATAAAAATAGCAGCGGACTTATCCCCCACTAATATCAGAATTGTCCGTTCGACAAAGAATTGTCCACATGCATGCATAATGATTAATTGAATTTATTTTCAATTCAATTTATATAAAAATTTGGTTAAAATTAATTTTTTTATATATTTAAAATTACATAAAAAAAGCTTTCAAAACAAGATATGACATGAATATATTATTTTATTAAAATAGTAATGAAATTAAAGAAAGAAAAGAATTGTGTGTGTGTTTGATGTGGATTGTTATTAGTCACAAAATAAGTTAGTGGGCTTGAGGTTCAAACATGTTACCTCCTATCATATTCAACAGTTTCCCGCTCAAAGCTCATCAAGAAATGAGGAAGAAATGGCGAGCCACCAATTTCCACAATCCCCATGCACGTTTAAATAACCTTCTCCTTCTCAACAAAAAGATTACCATCATAAAAAAAACAAATTAAATAATATAATAAGAAAAAAAATAAGTAATAATCTGATAGGAAAAAAAATGGCAGCAGCAGGTGGAATAATGAGCAGGTGCATGATAATGTATGTGTCCTTGACCTCTCTCCTCCTCATCGCGGCGGACGCCGCCACCCCCAGCGACTTCTGCGCCACCGCGGTGGACAAGAAGCTGTGCGAGGAGACGGTGAAGGGGACAATGGACTGGAACCATGCCATAATCAAGGCGTTGCAAGCGGCCATGAGCCAGCTTGATAAGGTGGACGATGGCCAGGTGAAAGCCACCGTCCACAAGAGCAAGTCCGCCTCCATGGCCTCCACCATTGATAAAATTTGCACCGAGGCATACACCAACACCCACGACAGGTATTCCCTTCCCCCATCCCCCTGGTCTTAGCGCCGAGGACACAAATCTGGTGTCCTCGTGCGGCTGACACCGAAGTTTTGATGCGCGGTTTCGCATTTCACTGCTTCAAATGTAAAAATAGGACGTTGTTAATGTACACCAACTTTGACACCGGACGTGTTTCATATACTTATTGAAAAAATCATTGTCAATGCGTGTCTGTGAAATATATTGTGTTAAAAGGTTGGTTTAACAATAGATTTTATCACTAAAAATATGAAGGAGAATTTTTGTATAACACGCCATCAATTTCCTCTATCCCTCAAAACCTTTTTTGCTCCGTATTATTCTTCTTCTTCATCTGTCTCAAAAAATTCTTTAAGTTTTTTGTATTGATTTATGTAACACTAGGGTTCTTTTGACCTTAGGAAAAAATGATCCAAAAATGATCTGGGCACTTACGTTGTTCTGTTGATAAAATTGATGATTCTTGACCTCCTTAACCCCAGATGGCAAGTATATTGCCAGGACAGGGGAGAGAGGGAGACTCGGGTTGGGGTAGGAACTATCCATTTTACTTACGGAACACTATAGGTGTCCTAAAATGTCTGGATCAAACTTACTATTGCAATGAAATTATTCACATAGTGAAAAGAATTCTCTAGTCTTATAATGAAAAAAAATGAATGTATAGGTTGTACGAGAGCCTGAGACTGGTGCGGAACGGGGAGAAGACGGGGAGCTTGAACTTCAAGCTGTCGGCGGCGTTGACCAGCCTCGAAGACTGCACCAACGCCTTCAGCGACTTCAACCTCGACATGTCCGGCGTCGAGGCCTTGAACAGCAACGTCGAAAACGCCATTCGGGTCTGTTTGGCCGTAGAGAAATACAACTCCTCCGGCCGCCACCATGAATACAAACACCAGTAGGGCCGCCGGGATATATAGAATTCGACTATACATACATATATTCTCCGTGACACAAATAAATTTAAATAAAATAAACGCCTACAAATTCATTTTATATCTCCATGCATGCTTTCGTGTAATTAATTATGAACTGCTTGCAGGGAAAAAAAAAAGAAAAGAAAGAAGGTTATTTAATTTTATTTAATTAGTGATGGGTGTAAATCATCTTTATTTTTTTTGAGAGTTATTTTTGGGTTTTAACAAATAATACTCACTTGAGATGGTACGTAGCTATTAGAGTATTAGATCATGGGGCTGCCGTCTGTATAGTTTTTCTTTTTTTTACCCATGTTAGCCAATATTTAATGATTTATATTATTCAGCATTCAAAAATCGAGGGAACTTTTGTTTATTTGTGTATATTCATTATTATTTAATGAAATAAAATATTTTTGTCAACTCTTCTTTTGTAGAATTTTTTGATGTGCTTTTAAGTATGTACTACTCCCTCCGTCCCTAAATAAACTTCTTCTTTCGTTTTTTCTTTGTTCCTAAATAAACTTCTCTTTTCCCTTAAAAAACTACTTTTACCTCTTACTTTTTCATACCCTACCTATCACATCACACCTTTTTACTAATAATCTACCTATCACATCTTACTTTTACACATCACATCAAGGGTATTTTTGGAAAGTCAACACTAAAATATCCCTCCCTTAAATCCTCAAAAAGTCAAAAACGGAAGTTTATTTAGGGACGGAGGGAGTATGTTTTACATTTTTTTTATTTATATACCAAATTTTAAATAAAATGAATCGAAAAAACGTAAAATTTTAATTTGCGTAAAATGTAAAAGATTTAGGGACGAATGGAGTACTAGCTAGCCAACTTTGTATGGTCTCAATACATAGTTTTTAATGATATCGTATAATGATAAGGGTATTACTAATGTTTTAAGCAATTGTACATATTTAAAATTTGATTTTTAATACAGTTTTCAATGCAGTTTTGAAACACGAACATGGAGTTTTCAATTAGGGTACATATTTAATTTTTTAATGCTATTTTTAGTCCGAACTCGAAGTATGCCGAACCCAAACTCGACGTGAACGAGCAATTTATCTGTTGTAAGCTTTTCAAAAACTCTTTCCCCCATTATAATTATACTCGCTCCCTTCCCGAGATAGTTTCTTGTAGCGAGTTACGATATTTGACCGAATACTCCTCCGATTTCTTCTAAATTTTGCGGTTCACTTTTCGAGCCTAATGTTTGACCAATAATAACTTTTAAAATATACTCCTTCCGTCCTCATTTTGATTACAAGATGGGAATTACAACGTAAAATCTCACGTTTTTAGAAATTATTTTATTTACAAATTGGCACATCAATAAGAAATAGAAATTACATGTTAAAAAACTACATCAAAAGTTCTACAAAATAACAAGTGACAAAAATATTTTATTTAATCAAATAATCAATGAGAACACACAAACAAACAAAAGTTATCGAGAAGATGAAGAAAATAAAATTGTGATCAAAATGAGGACGAGGGAGTATTAAAAATAACATTAAAAAAAATTTTCGGTCCCAATAATTTCGTATAATTTTTTTTGTTTTAATTCACTGTATACTTTTATACGGAGTATATATTAAGTCGAACGCTTTGCACGTAATTCTAAACCGATAGTTAAAACAGTCGGGTTCCCATGACATTGAATTGAATTGGAATCTCATGTCATGGGATGACCCGGGAGTGCTCCGGTGCCCCGTTTGTAAAATTGACGGTTCCTAAGCTACCTCCGGCCAGTAAACCCTCACCCTGACTCGAACACACACCCCCGCCTCCTTCAATTACACTACCCCAAGTTAATTTTGACTTAGGAGTTAAATTTTGACTCCAAAGTCAAAATTAACTTGGGGGTGCAATTGAAGGGGTTGAGGATGCGTTCGAGTTGTGGTGTGGTGGAGATTTACCGGGAGGGTTAGAGGGGTAGGAATCGTTAATTTTATGAACGGGGCACCGAAATGCCCTCGGGTCATCCCATAACATTATCGGGTAATGTCATGGGTATCCGCCCCTAGTTAAAAAGCAATGGAGTGGTGAGTAATAAAAAAGGATAAAGCTATTTGTACCCCAAGTTTTTGTACCTCACTTTGTACCTCGCAGGTTTGCACCATCATTTTGTGTTGGTGTAAAACTAATTTTTATTAATGCACCAACACTTTGTGTCCGTATAAATTTTTGTTAACACACCAACACTTGTGTCGGTGTAAACAATCAAAATGTTTATGTATAATTGCCGGATACAAATGGGGTAAAATTTTTGGTGTAAGTGTAGCATGGTTCAATAAAAAAAGATGGAGTAAAAAATAAAATTGTCATTCAATACATAAACCCTTTTTTCCTCCAATTGCCATCCAATTCAACCCGCCCCGATGTCCATCAACCATTTCCCTAAGCTCCATTTCCAGTTATCCGCGCTCGCTTCCAAACCCAAACTCCTAATCTCCTCCGCCAACCCCATCGCCGCCTTCTCCACCTCTTCCTCCCGGCTTCTCAGAGCTCCGATAATCGCCGGTTCTATTGAGAACAGCCCGCCGGAAACCTCAATCGGGAAGCTGTATTTTCCGCCGGGAACCGATGCATCCGGAGAGTTTGGTTCCCGGATTCTCAAGGGGTCCAACATAGTGCTCAGCAAGTACGCCGGAGACGCGCAGGTGGATCGGGCGGAGTTTGTGAAGAGCAGCGTGAGCACAGAAGATTGCCCAGCTGATGGGTTGCCGGAGTTCGCGCTCGTTGGGCGGTCTAATGTGGGGAAATCGTCCCTGCTCAACTCCATTGTTAGGCGCAAGAAGCTCGCTCTTACTTCCAAGAAACCCGGTATGCCCTCCCCTTTTCTGTGGCCTATATTGAATGCTTAAATCTTTGATTAATCATTTGAAAGTAGTGGAATTTGCAATAGACCTAAAATGCTAGCAGTCAGAAGGAACCTTAGATAGATGGAAGTTCCAAGTGTTCATGTGTTTGTTACTTACAAATTGGCCGACAAGAGAGCTAGGTAATCAAGATTGGGATGTACAAGGGAGCTTGGTAATCACGCTACATTGGTGCGGGTTAAGAAACTTTGTGTCCCATTCTGGAGGATAGAGACTGATAAGATGCCATTTTGTCACACATGGTTTTCACGGACATTGCTTCATTGCATTGGTTTAAGGTTTTGACCCAAATTTATTATTGCTGTTGTTCTATTCCTGCTAGAGTTTATGTTTTGAAAAAAGAGATTGATCCAAAAATAAAGTTTGAGTTTTGACACTTGGTGCCTGGTTGCTATTCTATTGAGTTGCTCTTTGAATTTGAGAAAAGTTTAAGAAAAAGTTAGTCCCGTTTCACCACAATACGTATTATATACGAGCCATGAATATGCATTTGTAATTGGTTTGTTAAGCTAATAACGGTGAAAATTGCCTACATTTTGTGAACATTATCTCCCTAATCATACCACAAACTACCCACCTTTAGTTACGCTTCATTTATTTCCTACCTTAACTAGCTAGTTGCTCGGTCAAGGCTGAGTAGCAGTTAGGACATATTGCTCTGCACACAAGGTCTTGTTGTACTAGTATAAATAAAAATACTCTATAGTTTTTCTCCATGTGTCTGTGTAATTGTTTGAGGATACTAATAGAGGGAAGGAACAGCTTAAATTTATGCAACTGTAATTGTCTCTATTTGCAGGCAAGACACAATGCATCAACCATTTCCGGATAAATGATAGCTGGCATCTTGTTGATTTGCCTGGATATGGGTAAATGATTTTCTGTTTGCATGTGGTGTTTTTTTCTCTAAAATACATCGTACTGGTTTGCCATATTAGACTTTACAAGTTTGGAGAATATACTGTCCTGGTTGGATAATCAGTCTCCCTTTTTCCCCTATACTAATACTCTGAATAACAGAATAAGCATATAATCTTTCATTTGCAATTGATTGTTTCAAAGTGATTTCTTCTATGCTGACTTCTAATGAATTGTTCACTTGAATCTTGGAGTGCCTATGAGTCCAACAAATGGACGGGCTTAATGCCTCTTTTGCAAACGTTCTAGGGCTCTGGCGTGAGGTAGGTTTGATGCCTTGAGGGGTTGTACTATTTGGAACTGGAAGATTTTATGATGCTTTTGTTTCATTTACTTTCATTTTGAGTTATTGGATTTGGAGTAAGGTGATTGAAAATCCAATGCTCTTTGCACAAGGTATGCTGCAGCACCACACGAAGTGCGTAAAGATTGGAACAAGTTCACCAAAGACTATTTTCTGAAACGGTCAACTCTTGTCTCGGTATTCCTTCTCATAGATGCTAGCATCCCTGCAAAAAAGATTGACCTTGAATATGCAAGTTGGCTTGGGCAGAACCAGGTAATTCCAATCTCATTAATATACTTATGACAGGTATATTGGATCGGCCCAGATATGTGTAGATAAGTTTCTATAATTAATACTGTATTTAGATTCATACCACCTAAGCCTACACATTTGACAAGAGGATGTAGCCTAGTTGAGATGGGTCGGACTCACCCAACTCAAAAGTGAGGTTAGGAGTCTGCCAAGTGGCGGGTTGAGGTAAGACAGAGTTAGGAGACGAGATGATCCCTCATGGTCTCCCCTGCGTTCCCTATAATCCCCCATGAGTGTGGGTCCCTTGAGGAGAACGTGGGAGGTAGTTTTTTGCGGTTTGTCAGTATCTTGATCCTTATAAATACACCTTCTCCATGAGACCATGACCGAAGAGGGGATTGCATTCTTGATATACAAAGGGCATATTATCGATTCGTCTCTCTTACATGCTACTACTTACAATCAATTACTACGTCATAATTCTGACATCGACTTATGTTTTAAAATAGCCAGGCCTTGGACATGATTATAAGTCAGGTTTGGGTTCAGATTTACCTAAATATGTGGCATCCAAGCCCGGTTCTCTTGATCGAGTGGTTTCCAGCTTTCAGTTTTTTGGTTTTATTAATTTAAAAATTTGATTATAAGTATTGTATAATAAAATAAAGCTATTCATATTTAAACTGCCAACGGAAAAAAAATCTTGTGTTCTGCTAAGAATTCCCTCTTTGTGTGGCTACACGTTCTTTTGTTCTTTCTACCTCTCAGAAGTGAATGGTGGATGCACGGAAAACCCTTTTTTTTTTGTGTTTGCAGATTCCGATGACATTAATTTTTACCAAATGTGATAAGAGGAAGAAGAATAAGAATGGAGGGAAAAGACCCGAAGAGAACGTCGAAGATTTTCAAGAGCTAATTCAACACTTCTTCCAAACTGCTCCACCTTGGATTATGACAAGCAGCGTCACGAACCAAGGCCGCGATGAGATATTGTTACACATATCTCAACTACGCAACTACTGGCTCAAGCATTGATCGAGGTTTCGAACAGCGTGTTAAACCCGGCGTTCGGTTGCTCAGAAATTAGGGTGCAGTTTGGTTCAGCCATTGTTGACATCTACCACCAGCAAGTAAGCTTGTTTATGCTGTGTATGTGGTGGGTTTGCACCCTAAAATAAGAGTGAAAATGGTTGAAAATGAAAAATGTGTCGTTGGAATTTGTTTATATATTGAAATTATACTAAGCGCGCATGAATTTATCATTTATAATGCCGTTGTATTCGAATGGCGTCTCTTGGAAACAATATCTTTATGACCAAGTAGGGGATATATTTGCTTACATATACCTTCTCCAGACCTACTTGTGAGATTTTACCGGTTATGTTGTTACGAGGGAATGGTAATTTAGGGTTAGACGGAAAAATGAGATTTATGAAAAGAAAACACCTATATCAATATTGTGAGAAATTTGACATCTTACATGAATATTTTTAGATTACATAATTAATTAATTATCACCGATATTTCTTAGAAATTTAATAATGTCAAAATAGTGCTCTAAGAAAAAATTTAGTTAAATGGATCCTCTAATTTTTGGAGTCTCTGTGATTAATATACAATGAAGTCTTACAAAGTACTCCGTATTATATACTTCTTTCGTGTCAAATTAAATTGCTTGTTTATTATATACATGATCAAATTTTATTTACTTTCTTTTTTTATTTTTCTTAGTCATTTAATAAAATAATATAGTCATGTCACTAGTTTTGTAAATCTTTTGATATAGTTTTTAAGCATATAATTATTATTTTTTAATTCTACATCATTTTTCATATGTAATGATTTGAAAATAACTTCAGTAAACAAACGATTTAAATTGGGATGGGGGAGTATTAAAGAACTTTTGTTGAAGGCAACGAAAGTTATGTAATTTTAGAATATTTTAGTAAGAATGAGTATATTTTGAGATAACTCCAATTGATGTAAAACAGAGACACCAGTTTAGTAGGGAGATATACAGTTTTGACTAAAAATTATGGTTTTCAAATAAGATCTCAAATTTCTAGAAGAATTTGTATAATTTTAAAAAAAAACTCTAATTTGTGGATTAATTTTTTAAAAAAAACACTTCCATGTTTTGCGCCTTGTAGCAGAGAGATCTAAGGAGATTGGATGGCTTTGGTTAACCAACACAAGACAGCCATAGCACCACAAACCGATTTTATATAAATATATACTCCGTAAACAACAAACGTCCCGCCGGCAAAAAAGACAGCCTCTCTCCGGCGACCATTTTTTTTACCACCGACACCGCCGGTGAACGGCGCCGGCACCGGGATGTCGAACATCATTCATAAGCTGGAGGAGAAGCTCCACCACATCCACGGGCGGCACAAGCCGCCGCCGCCGGACGACGACGGGCACGGTGGAGGAGGAGGAGGAGATAAGAAAGGAGGATGCCTAAGTGAGAAGATCAAACACAAGATTGATAAAGGTTAAGCATATAACCACCAACAAGAAGCACAAAGATGGGAATAATAAACAACATGAAGATTGCTAGTATTAATTCTTCATGTATTCCCTTCATTTCGTATTAATTGTCTATTTTTACTTTTGAGATACATTAAAAACGAATGAATGTATACATACTTTATGTCTATATTCATTTATTTTTTAATGTATCTAAAAAGTCATAATAGTCAGTTAATATGGAATTAAGAGAGTATTTGGGTTAATCTTCAAATCTTCTCATTTATCATTTTCTTGATTTATATTTGGAATCCTCTTTTCCTGCCTTTTCCCTACCTTTTTTTTAAATTATTTTTACTCCATTTGTCTTGAAATAAAATTATTAGTTTTTCTTGATGCCTGATTATTAAGAATGTGATTTGGCATACGGAATACGGAGTAGTTATTTTTAGATAATGGCGTGTTATTTGATTTCACGCTATTACCTCGCGCATGTTTGGAAGAGTTTCAGCGTTTTGAAAAAACGTTCAATTTTAACACTTTTAAAGTCATTTTGAATTAATACAACTCCAAAAACTAACACTAATTAAAGTATTGTTCTTAAACTACTCCCTCCAACCCGTTTTAAATCACCTATTTTAACTTTGGGACATTTAAGAAGGAGAAAAAATAAAATTAATTTTTTAAAATTGTCATTATTTTTTAGGGGGGTGACAACGAATGAGAAAATATGATGGAAAATAGTGACTTATTTTAAGAGCAATTTGGATATTCTACTCTTAAAAGTTTACGATAGCAAAAAACATGCAACTTATTTTAGGACGGAGAAAAAAAAAACAGGCAATTTAAAATGAGACAGGAGTATCAATTTGGAGAGAATAGAGCGCATAAGTGCCCCGAAAACGCACGAATCGTTCTCGGGTCATTTTTGGCTCCCAATTAAAATACAAAAGGTTGGTGTTTTAATTGATATGCAATTGCATGTTCAAAACCTCTTTTCCTGTGATCACCATTCACCAAAATCAGATGATCTATTAACTGAATAAGAAGAAAGAGTATATAATATGGTTGAAAATAATTTACTCCCAATAAACAAAAGCATACCTGCTACAAGCAGAACAACACATGTTTGCATATAAAATTAGGGCAAATTCGGAAGGAAAAAAAGTCTGCTAAAACTGCATAAACGAAATTTACGACGATGCAGCCGCTCCCTTACTCCTCGGAGTAGCAGCAGTACCTAATAAGCACACAACGTTAAAGGTAAAAATTAATGATAAATTCATCACAAAAAAGTTTGGATGCCAAAAAACAAAAGCAACGATTGGCTATTTACCTTCTCTGAAGTTGGTCTTGAATCTGCGGGGAACATGGCGAAGATACCTCATGCGGCCAGTTCCAGTAGTCTTTCTCCTTATTGCCTTGACACTCCAGTTATCTAAACAAATCACAAAACATACAAAATATTTTTTTAATTTTAATTTTTAATTTTTTTGAGGGGAGGGGGGCGTTAGGCTCCAAAAAAAAGTTACATCTCTAAATATGTTGATCAAAATAACAATGCAAAAATAACAAATAAAACCCTGTGAGGTTGCGGGCATCTTGACTGCCAACGGTGTTGGGATTGAACTGGGTTGTTGTGTGCTCATCCCTCCTAAAGGTGATTCAACACTTTACATAGGGCGGTAAGTTATGTAAGGCTCTCGACGGCTGGGTTCAGAGAGCTCCCCAATTTTTAGCCTTACAATTTGAATGGAGAAACAGATATGCCGGAGGAAAAAAATGAGATGGGAAAAGATTAAGCAGTATGGGGAAAGTCCAGGGGCAGTTGAACGTGTGAAGGGCTTGAATGCGATAGAAAGCCAAGTGAAGCTTAGCACAAAGATAAAGAAGAGAATAATGTCTTTTGAAAAACAAGTGAGAGCAGAGGAATCATAAATCCCCATAACTCTGGTTACTTAGGAAAACACGGGTAGTTTAGTGACACGATTCCATAGAAAAAATCACTATTACACAATGATCAAAACAGTTCAGGAACCTTTTATCCTAATAGTTTTTGGATTGAGGTATTTCGATCATCTCTGATGGAGCCAAAATTTCACCATTTTTTGGCTTTGGGGTGTGATGGAATAAATCAAAATGGATCTCTAAACTGTCTGCGCTTCTTTAATTAATGAAGTAGCAGTTAGTCAAGCAATGCAACTTTCGACATTGAGCAGGGGGTCTCTTTGGAAACAGCCTCCCTACTTTCGAGTAGGGGCAAGGTCTGCATACACACACCCTCCCCAGACCCTACTCTTGTGGGATTTAACTGGGTTGTTGTTGTTGTTGTTTTGGATTGAGGTGTAGTGTTAGTATTGAAAGTGTTATGAAATGTATGCATGGTAAGGGAGATAGGGCAATGTTAACCTAATTGTGTTAACAATGAAATTAACAAAACCATTTACTCATAACAGCGATATCATGAAAATTAAATTCAGAAGGGATTAATAAGATTATATAGTGGAATTAATCAGAATGTCGGTTAATAAGATTATATAGTGGAATTAATCAGAATGTCTCTATTAAATAAGATGTAACTTAGGAGTAACATCCCATTTTAGAGTGCTAAGATATGAAGGGTTGAAATGTTGGGAAGTTAGAACTTAAAACTTTCGAACCATTACTTAACCTCCTAAAATTTTTTACTATCCTCCTGAACAGAAGTTAATAACCACACTCCTTAACACTTCCATTACTTCAACTTACCTATACTCCATTCAAATGTAATCCAAAGTCAACCAAATTTGAGGGAGGGAGGGTGCCATTGAAGGGGGTGCGGCTGGGTCCGATGCAGGCTTGGTGGTTTACCAAGGCATTTGGGGGGTCAAAAACTGTCAATTTTGCTAACAGGGCACCATAGAGTCCCCAATTGGGGGACATGTCATAAGATGACATGTGGTTCTAATGTCAAGGGAACTCCTTTATTATAAATATCATTCTCTCAAGTTGGGCTGCATTCAAATAGCTTAATGGCACAAAACTAATGCTTCTTTTTTTTGCTCAAGAAGTGTTATTACATCCTTGGTTACTGTCCATTACAAATGGAGCTAAACAAGTCATTAATTCATTATTGAAAATATTTTAGTATGAGTCGCATAATGAACCAAATTAAAATGACACATTAAACTTCATTCACTCCTTGCTTCTTACTTCCAGTGAAGTTTTAGGTGGTCAACAAAATAGCCTCTCTACATGTAGGATTCAATATGTTTTTGCTCCCTTTAGAAATGGGCAACTTTTGCTTTTAATTCCTATAATTTTTTAAGTCATCCCTGCAAAATTAATCTTTCATAAATGGTCCTAAAATGTAATTAGCATTCCTAATTAGTTGAGATGTCACATCTCTTCCACTTCTATCTTCCCAAATGATTCAAATTCAATCGCCGGCAAACCAAAGAAAAAACTAATAAAAGTATTTGATGATAGAAATGATGAGAACGCCAATAATATCACATAAACAAACAAGCGGATGGATGGAACGTACATTTTCTGATGCGAGCGGCGGGATAGGCACAGGCGGAGCACCGGCTCTTCTGGAGGTGGAAGCTGCGGCGGCCACATCTCACGCACAGCGTGTGCGTCTTGTTCCTCCGCTTACCGAAACTTCCGGTACCTTTTCCCTGTCAAAATATATACGAAAAAAAATCCAAACTTTGGGTCAATATGGAGCAGATCCAGGAGGAATCGAGCAGACGAGAGAGAGAAAGAAAATTGCAGAAGTACCATTTTTGCTTGGAAGATGAAAACCTCTGTGAAGCTTTTCCGGAAGTTAAAAAATGGATCTTGAGAAATTTATTTAATTTATATATGAGTCGGTGGACTAGGGTTTGGACTAGGCTTTCCCTAATGGGCTGATCTTACATCTTTTACTCTTGGATATGTGCGAATAAAAGGCCTGTTTTTATTTTGAAAAAAATGCCTAATTTTCAAAGAAATAATATTTTCCCTCAAAAATAATATGGTAATATCATTTGTGAGTTGTGACACTGCTTTTGACATCAAACTTCTTTATATATAAATTTAAGAATTCAATACTTACGAACTTGATATATGGCATATCAAGAACTTTATTGTAAACAAAATGTATGTTTTCATTCCTCACCAAAAGTGTCTTACAGCATACAAACCAAAGGCAAAAACATGTCAAGCTTCTAACTAAATCAAACCACTAGCTATGTTGCCATCCTCTACTTCCTCTTTCTCAAATAAGTAGTAATTAATATGGTAAAGGACCCAAATGAAAATCTCTTCTTCTTGTCGACTCTCCTTAGCATGATACAATCTATTTCTTACCCTCCATATAACAAACTGTTGCATATGCACTAATGACTTGTTGCCTTCTCTTTCCGGTCAGCCTCATCATATTACTTCTCATTTCCTTCACTCCATCACCCTCAAAATTATATCTCAGCCACCTTGAGACTTTATTAATGAAGGCTTTAATATTTGGATAATTACTAAATAGGTAGTCCATGTTCATATCAAGAACTTGACATGTGACATCTTAAGTACTTCACATGTGCCATATTAAGTGTCAATTTAACCAATTTTACACTCTTTAATTATTTTAGCTTTTTCATTCTTTTTCAAGAATGATAATTACTTATTTTGAACTCATAACTCCAAATTTAGAATTAAAATCATTTTCCCTAGAATTTATTATTTTTGATAAAATATGATATTTTCACAAATCTACGTTAAAATATTTTTAATACCTGTCTCAAGTTTTATAAATTAAAAATATACAAAAACATTTATAATAATAAATAAAATACACTCCTCAACTATAAATAAATTATATATTTTTTTCATTATGCATTTACGTTATATTAGTTTGATTATATTTGTATAAACATTAACACCTATTAAATTAGATGTTTTCTTCACCTACAAATAAATTTTATATTTCTTTTGACACATAATATGTCTCCTAATTTAAGATATATAAAATTTAAATTCAATATTTTGGTATGAAATCTTCGAATAAGCTTAATTATGGAAAATAAATATTAATTTTTATGATAATTTTCTTTCCAATTCAATATAGTATTTTTTACTCTTTTCATTTATAAAAAAATCTTCTAAATAATAAATAAGTTGCATTTAATATTATTTCATAATTTAATAACTTTTACTATATTCATTTATAATAAAACTTTCAATTCCCTAAAAAAATCAATTAATAAATAAGTTGCATTTTTATCTCTAGCTAAATCAATGTTACATGAGTATTTTTTTGTGATATGTTATAATGAACTTAGTTTTTATTCTACTTATTCTAATAAAAAGTTAGTTTTGATTCTAATTATTGGATTATTGATGTGAAAATTAAAAACAAACAATATATTTTATAAATTACATTATAATATTCATAAAAGAAAAGACGACTATACTATAATTTTGTTATAAATGAACAAAGTAATATATGTAATTTCAATACAATATTTTTTTACTCTCTTTATATCTAAAAAAATATTTATTTAATAAACAAGATGATTTTTTACATCAAAATACTTTTCATACGAGTATTTGTTTATTATATGTTAAAATAACTTAGTTTGTATTCTATTCTTTAAATACTCCGTAATAATATAAAATTAAAAAACAAACAATACAATTTCAATAACTACATTACAAAATCTAAAAATCAATATATGACTGGACTAAAATAGAAAAAACTTTTAATTATAAAAAATCGCTTCACCCATAAATAAATTTTATACTTTGTATTTCTTTGTGATGCTTTTAAATAAAGTTAGTTTGATTATATTTATTTAAATAATATAACTTTATATTTTTCACTTCATTTATAATAAAACTATGAATGAATAAATATGATTTCCTTTTCTAGACAAGATACTTTCTTAACCTCTAAGAAACTTATATTTATATAGGACATTCTTAAATGAAGTTAGTTTGTATTTTATTTATTTTCAATATTAATGTTAAATAAAATATAAAAAAATAATTTAATCTCTACATTTAAATACGCACTAGTATAAAACAAGAAACAACTACACTATTTTTTTTAAATGATCAAATATTTATTATATCAGATAAATTAAGAAATGAATGTTTTCATAAGCTTGAATGATTGTTTATTCAAATAGGATTGGACCCATAAATAAATTTTACGTTATATTAGTATGAGCTTTCTTGAATAAACCCACACTTTGTTCAAAAAAAAAAGTTAATAGGCTAATGAAAATGAAACTAAACCGTTTGAATCAAAATAACTTAGGTAAAATCAGATTTACCGAGGGAGTAATTTTCAGCAATCTTATCCGAATTACCCCGTACGTTAAGTTTAAAAACAAACGAGAACCATTCACTATGAAAACCGGTTTGACCCGACCCTTCTCCTAGGAATAGACTCGATTGATAAGGTATGGACTTAATTGACTATTTGACTTTAATTTTCTCCATTATTTGGGGTTATGTAGGGTGGCGTGGGTGATTAGTACTCCGTACCATCTTTGGCCTTATTCAATTGATCAAATCCAAAAGTGATGTTTTCAAAAAAAAAAAAAAGAAAGAAAAATTGATGAAATTGTATAGAGTTGAAAATTGAAATGAGAGGTAAGAAAAAGATGGGGCATTAGTTGACACATATTTTATAGTGGTTGTGTGTGTATATATACGGAGTATATATTAAGGGTATACTCGTCATGATCGGTCAGTGACGCCATGCTATCGAACCGTCGATCTCCTTGAACGGTTGGAAAAGGAAGGGTTAGGATTATTGATATGAGATTTTACATAAATAGTACTACCTCCGTCCCGGAGTATTCGTCTAGTTTGACTTTTTCGAGTCAAACTGGACGAACTTTGAGCCTTGATTAAGTAAAAACTATAATGTATATTTGTATAAAAATGATTTTAATATATTTAAATTGTTTAGAACTTTTAAAAATGTATTCCATTATATTAATATGCAATACAAATTGAGAGTAATTGATAATTAAAGTTTGTCCAATTTGACTCGAAAAAGTCAAACTGGACAAATACTCTGGGACGGAGGGAGTATTAAAACATAGCGACTTTCTCAAAATAATATGGAGTACCATATGTTTTTATTTCTCTATGTAGTACCTCTAGTCATTGTCCACTCGTCATTTTTCAAGTAAATGTCTACCGCCACTGGACATTGTTTAAATTAAATGTCCAATATCACTAGACATTGTTCCCGCTACTAGACATTATTCAAATACTATTTAGGAAATAAAAAAAATAATTACTACATTGGAAAATGACATATGTTTTAGTGTGCTAATTTTACTTTTTGATAATCTTAGGGTCGATAATCTTAGCGGAGTTTCGGTGATCATCATCATAGCCCATCCTCAGCGCCACGACTAAGGGAGTTTCTTGATTGATGCTAGTGGATCAGATATCTGCCATCACCGTGTAACTCAGATCCAACAGTAGCTACAAAACCCAATAAATTATTGTTGACGGATTTGCAACTCTCCTGCTACCAGATGAGAATCTCACACTCAGCTCGGTTTTTATTTTCCATTAATTCTTAGTCCATTCTTTTTTCTCTCGATCTTTTAATCACTCATTCTTATTTATAATCCCCCTTCCTTTTCTCTTTACTGCAAAAATATCCAAAGTAATTCAAAACAAAAACAAAGTCAAGAAGGGAAGTAGTGAAAGAGAAAAGAATATCCCTATAACTCACCCTTTAAGAAAAAAATAAGGCATTGTCTGGATCTAAGAAAAAGACAAAGAATGTCAAGGATCTTCAGTCAAACAGCACCTACCTCTAATAGTCTTCTCTATTCTTCTTCGACGTCAGCAGCTATAAGCGCACATCAACCTCTCTCTCTTTCTTCTTATTCGACGTCAGCAGCTACCAGCGCAGTCCATTTCCCTCTACTTCGACATCAGCATCTACAATGGCATGTCAGACTTCTCTATTTTTCTAAGACGTTAGCAGCCACCAACGCAAGTCAGACATCTCTCTTCTCAAAGTTTCCAGTTTCCAACTAGTTACCTAGCTTTCTCTTGCTTCAGCGAGAGTTCAGCTAAAGAGAGAATGTTAGACAATAATAATACCACTTCTGCTAATGTTAGTTATGGTAGTGTTAGATTATTAATTAGCTTTTTAATCTTATTTATGATAAAAGTAATATTTTAGTGAATTTTCAATCTCTAATTTTTAGTTGTGTCAGGAGTCTCTCCTACATACAGAATATACTCTATCATGTACTCCCTCCGTCCCACTCTCTTTGTCCACTTACCTTTTGGCACACCATCCAATGCACATTTTTAATCCATTTTATCTTGTAATTTGTATATAAAAAATTATAGAAATTATATATTAATAATCTATATGTTAAGACAAATCAAACAAGATCACACATGACTATATTTAGGCTTACACATTGCGAGAATTTGATGAGTCAAAGTGCTTAGATGAACAGTTCCAAAAGTCAAAAGTGGACAAAGAGAGTGGGACGGAGGTAGAATTTCATAATTCAATAAACAATTTATTTTGAGAGCATCCAAAAAGTCCAAGGATATTCTAATATCATTTTCGTCAGAAAGTGGGCATTTGATCACGCAAACTTCTCCGAGGATATTTGTTGTTGCGCATAGGCTTTCGGTTGTCCTACGCAGGCAGGGCTACAGCTCTTTGATTAATATACTTTGTCACTATCGTCCCCAAATGAAGGAAGACTTTACATTAATTTGTAAACATCAAATCAAATTTTACATTTCTACATCTTCTCTTTCCCCATACGATTTTATACACATTAATAATATATATATATATATATATATATATATATATATATATATATATATATATATATATATATATATATATATATATATATATATATATATATAGTTGAGACTGCGCAACTCTCACCCTGCATTAGTATGATATTGTCCGTTATAAGTCAAGCTCTCACGGATTTGTTTTTGGGCACTTCCTAAAAGGCTTCATACTAATGAGGTTGAGTAACCATATCACTTCTAACAGTTGGTATCAGAACCCAGGTTCGTGCGGGCAAGAGTGGCAGACTGCGTTGTGCGGAGTTCTCGGTGTGCCCAATGTGACAAAATGACGAAAGGTCTGCTGTCTGCAGGCGGTGCCTTTTGTCTAAAGTCTTCCTGACAACTGGTGGTCGGGCGGCGTGCCCCGTTAGTGTTAACGGCGGTACAAGATGACTTGGCAGATCAAACAATGTGACCTTAGCGGAATGGTGGTCTGCGGTATTCCTTGTGCCAAAAGTCTTCCCGACATGAGAAGGTCGGGCGGCGTGCCCCGTTGGTGTGTGGTGGCAGGTGTGTAGCGGCGGTGCAAGATCGATGGTGCTTACCTACACAAACTATTGTTTAAGTTTCTAAATTAGTCTAAATTATTTTAGGCCCGTTTCGAGTGGTGTTAGGGAGTACCTTTGTTAATTGTTATCGTACATTTAAATTAGGGAATACATTGAGGAGAGTGGATACTTTGAGGGCATTACAAGTTATCCTTTTGCGTCTTTGAAACGGAAGCTATAAAAAGTGTTTATTTGAAGTTAATTAAATGGAGCAATCATAAGCACGATACCACCACTACACAAAGCCCCCAATGCTTTACTTTTAAAAAAATGAAAAGAAAAGAAAAATATGAGTTGTATTTATATGGAAAAAAAAAATCTCGAGGACACACTCCAAATCGAGTGAATAATCGCTTGAGAAGAGGAACCATAATCACAAACTAGTTATCAAAGGATCTGAAGTTCTATGCTTAGCATTTATAGAATAGCAATGCTGGGATACACCAAAGGTGTACCCCATTTGCCCCCCACCCCTTTATTCACCACTCAATTTTATTTTATTTTTATTTATTTAATTTTTTTTAGTCTCTTGCCTTTTTGTGTGGTTATGGAGGGATGGGGGACAAATGGAATACACCTTTGGTGTACTCCTAGCATTTTTCTTTATAGAATTCTCAAATACCGATTGAACAGCTATCTTGAAGTAAGTCGAGTTATAATTTTAGTCTTACAGATAAAGAATGAGACATGTGCCTAACATGTATAAAATTAAAGCTTTATACTATGCATGATTAAGAGTGTGATATGTTCCTAATAAACTAGTCCAAACACAAGCTCAAGCTTACACATATGGAAAGCTTTTATTCCTTTCATTATTCGAGTAAAATTTACCATTAGAACTTTCTTGATACATATAGAAATTAATGAATGTGAACCTAAACTATTTTTACATTTATTTATTTTTTAATGTATCAAGAAAGTTAAAATAGTTTATTAAAATGGGATAAATGAAGTACATGCCTTATTTAGTAAATGACTTTTCAATCAACATATGGTTATTTTTGACAATATATAACTCATTTGACTTGTCAATCAACCAAAATAATTGTTTGAAATCTAGTTGTTAGAACTAGCCGTTAGTTCCCAATAGCCAAAAATCAAAGTCTAGTATCAGCAACATTTCAATTTGGCTGCTCCTTAGAGCACAGGCAACAGCGACAACAAAGTATATGCCTCGCTCTGCCATCAGTGGAGAAGAGAGGTGTGTGGCTGCCTCTTGTGCCAAAGGGCGAGTTTGATACGATATAAATATCAAATAGTACAATGAATTGAAGAATTATGAGCACCTTCAAGTTCTAAGAATGAGAAGGACACTACTAAAAAAATTGCGAACAGAAGGAGACAAGTTCGCCTCTAATTGTACAGAATCCGCCTCTAATTAAGATTTAGAGTGGAACTAGAGGCGGAATCACTTCTACCGCTAAACACGCCGCTGCTATTTTTAGAGGCGGAAAAGTCTTTGCCTCTAATTTAGAGGCGGACTTTTCCGCCTCTAAATTAGAGGGTGACTTCTCTGCCGCTACATATTTGCTTTATTAGAGGGGGAAAACTCCGCCTCTAATTTTTTATTATTTAAAAAAAATTTTTTTATTCCAAATACTATATACAAGCATACAGAAGGGAATTCAAACATGACATTCAACCATTACACAATATCATAATCTCAAAAGTCATAAGTCAATCAATATCAAACAATAAGTTCAAAAATACATAAAATGAAGTGCCAAATCTAATAGAAAGTCATAAGTCACAAACGACAGTAATAACATTAAATTAAAAAAATAAAGATTATTACAAAAATCTCCTTTGAGCGATCGTCGGTAAAGCTCCTATTTGTATGTCGCCAAGTGAAACAAATTAACTCTTCAAGATCTAATGAACGATCAAGAGCAATAGCCTACAATTGAAACAAATTCAATAATTATTCAAGCATACTTTATACAAGACATATAAGAATGCCACCAAATAAGTAAAAGGAAGAGATGCCTCATTTCAACACCATGATTAACTTAGAGCATGAATCTCAAATAGACGAAATAAACGGCTGGAAAATCACAAACATTAACAAAAATCAAAGCATTCACTCGTATATATTTCAAAAAACATTCTTAACACATAGTTTGAATGATTAGAGTAATTGGATTCGCATAAAAGACACACCTTTAGGACTGGAATTTCAATGACACATGCACACTCAATCACCTCAGCACCAGCATGTTCAGTAAAAATTGTAGTATCAAGTCAAACTTTCACCATGTGAACCAAAAATAAATAGTACTAAATAAAAATCAAACAAGTCCAATTCAACTTGAAACAAGGAACAAAACTTGGATCTAATAGTCACAAGTTCGAATATTAATGCCAACAGCTAACTGCAAAATTGACTATCTGGCTGACTTAGCTTGGTTCGTTGAGAGTAGTCCTGCAAAGAAAACGACAGAAAGAAATATCCAATAAATCCATAGCTGCGCAAAGAGTGCCGCCACTGGCAACGAGGTCATCAACCACCAGCGCATGGTCTATGGGCCGTACCACTCCAACGTGCATCTCGAGATAATCGCTTCCGTACTCTAGCTCATACTCTTGTCGCATTACCTCCCCTGTTCGGTGAATTCAAGTTTGGTACTTGTCAGTGTGACATAAAGTTGAAAAAGAATTTACACAAGAGCAAATGGTTTGGGAAAGACTTTTTTTTGGTAACAATAACATGAGACATCATAACAATACTTTGAGGTTCCACCGTTACAATAGTGAAAGACGCCATTTCTAACAATGCCATTTCTATGATGGTTCATCGGATTCCAGCTCACGCAGTCACTGTCCCAGAATGTCTTGCCAATGTCCCAACAAGTTCTCCAGACCCTCTATGCCAAATATAAACCTCTGAGTCTTCACTTCCACTAGCAATGAATGCTTGATTAAGTCCACCAAAACAAGACCTCAATACAAAGCGAATACGCTTGTGACCCTTATATTTGGCTATACACTTCATACTCCCATCTATATACCAAAGGTGAATCGCTTGGTTAGAAAGACTGACCAGAATGTTCTTTATGTCTCTTGACAATACAAATGAGGTTATACATTCATCTTCCACAAGAAATCTCTCATCTTTGGATTCCCATCCAAGCATGACTATCTCATTTTCTTTACAAACAGAAACGATCTATTTCCCATCCAAACATGACTATCTCATTTTCTTTGCTAGTAGTAAACAATATTTTGTTGTTCCCAAATCATAACTTTAAAAAAACTCCAAAGATTTGTACAACTAAACCTACTTTAAAACTAGTAGGTTTGAACAAAAACCAAGACACTAGACATATGATTCTTTCAAATTTTTAAGTTAAAAAAATATCATAATTAAAACTGGTCTAAAAAAAGAATTCCACATAATTGAAAAATTAGAATAAAAATATACCAATATATATAAACTCGAAGATCAAATTGAGGTAACAAAAACTCCATATAATTGAACAATTAGAATATTTTCATTCACATAATTGAAGAATTAAGATAATTTTGATGGACAAGCAAAGAAATTCACATAATTGAACAATTAGAGTATTTTCAAGATGAATTAAAACCTAGAAATTGGAGGGGGAGCTGAGGCGTCGGTGCGGCTGAGACGGCGGAAGATGATTTCGGGGTTGTGACCGTTTCCGGCTGATAAGCCGAAGGTCGGCGGCAGGCAGAGAGGCGGGGGTGACGGCGTTGTGCTTCGCCGTGTTGAAGGCCGCTTCGGCTGGGGTGAGAGCGCAGCGAGAAACGAGAGAGATTTAGGAGAGATGGATAGTTTTTTTTACTCAGTAATTGGATAAGTCAATATATTTCACACAAGTCCCACTTTTTTTATTTTTCAATTAGGGGGGGAAATTTTACCCTTTTTTAGTTTCATTTTTTGTTGTTGTATATTTACGGATTTGGGGTATAGGGGGGAGACATCCTCCTCTATTGTGTTTGATTATAGTGGGGGACTATTCTGCCTCTAATTTAATTTTTTTTTATAAATAAATTCAAATTTTTATTTTTACCGCTTTTTTAATTTAGCTTTAATCTCCCGGTTATATAATTGAAATTTATTTCAATTAATTGAAATTTATTTCAATTAGCTACGAAACTAGCGGTGGAAATGTTACCCACTAATGAAAATTTCAAACATAGGGTGAATATTTCCCCGCTATTCTGCAGCTAATTAGAGGCGGAAATATCCCCCACTATTTTTTTGCAGCTGATACGCGAGATTCTAGTAGTGGGAGTTAGCGTCTAAAGAATTCTAACCATAAAAGATAACTAAATAAACTAGGATATTGATAACCTAATAAGAGAATAATATTCCCTAATAATAATAATTCACTAACCAATAATTAAAAAAAGTCAATATTGAAACTGTAAGTGTAATGAGGCTTTTGGAGCTGAGCACGCATTAATGTACTCCCTCTGTTCCCTGTAACAGTTCCTGTTTTGATTTGGGAGAGATTTAATTTCATAATTTGACCTTCTAATTATACTCTTATTATCGAAGTACGGAGTAAAAAAGAGAGGCAAATTATTTAAATGACTTATTATAATTTATTACGCCGCACAATTAATCAATTTTGATAAGCTTTTTCCTCGGTTTGAGGGGTAGAAATCTCATTCTCTAAAATTTATGGACAATCTCACCCAAGTTTGAGTTCTAAGAGACTCAAAGGGATCGGAAACATTGGTTCACTATACACCATTAGTTTTAAAAAAATCTTAACTTTGGTTTATAAGTATAAAATCAACTTTTATAGTTATAGGTTCTTTGGTTTATTTTATTAAAAACAAAAAAAAAGTCCTCACTTTATATACCATATTTTATTCGGAGACGACCATGTCATTATAAATTTTTTGGTTTATTTGTACTTGCAAAGCAATTTTTTCAAAAGGCTATGTTCTCAAGTTTTTCCTAAAAGATGTTTGAACCGTGTCACTTTTAATAATTTTAATTTTGCATTGGATGGAATTTTGAAGAGCTAGAGTCCTAAAAATATGGGTTGTCTGAAGGGTGTGCAAAGTGGCCTACGGCACAGGGTCTTTAAAATTTTAGGCCCCATATTTTTAAATTCATCATTAATTTTGAAGCATAAATATTCTAAAATAATAAAATAGGGCCCAAAATATAAATTTCGGACTGGACCAATTTCATTGTTTTCATATTTCGAGGCCAGCCCTGCCTAAAAAAATGAGTATCAAATTTAAGATCTTGACTTCTTTTTTTTTTAATTAAGGAATCATTAAGATCTTGACTTAATTTGACAATTTTAACGTAAATAAGATTCTCTTTTGACGGAAAAATAAGATTTTTTAGAAAAAAAATATACTCCGTTGTTTAGTGTCACTAGCATTTTGACCCGTGCGACGCACGGGTCGATCAAAAAATTTATCGATTCGGGATTTCTTTTCTATTTTTCTAAGGCTGTGTTCTTTTGAATTATGATTTTTTCTAGAAAATTTCAATAATAATTTCTTGTGTTTGGTTATATGAGTGGGAGAAATTTATTTTAGACGAAGGTTCATTACTTCATTTTCATAATAATTCCTCGAGTGACTTGATTTCACGAAAAAATGAAATATTTTCTCCATTTCGCACTCACTCCTTCCACTATCCCCCACCCCCAAATCTTAGAGAATATACATGTTTAAAATGAAAATTTGGTACGGTCACATATAAAAACACAAATTATATTTGCTTTCGAATACTTCCTTCGTTGACTACAGCTTCTCTTCTTTCATTTTTTTCACTTTTCCTAAAATACTTTCTTTTTTTTTATTAAAAGGGTTAATATATCAAAATAAAATCATTGCAATATATACTTCATATGTTTTGCATTAATATAATAAAAGGTACAAAAGTGCCACCAGACATTGAACGTGGATAACGGCCTACCATTCATTCCAAAGCCAGGCACCCTGAATAACCCAACTTCAAAAAAAAAAAATTGACACACAAGTACCATGGGCTTAATAGTTAACAGAGGGTGAATTATTAGGCATATTATTATGCAGAAACTTTATACTCCCTCCGTCCCAAAATATTTGCCACATTTGCTTTTTCAACCGTCGCGGGAACTTTTGTTTATTTCTACGTTTTCATTGCTTATTTGATAAAATAAAATATTCTTGACACCTCTTATTTCGAAGAACTTTTCATGTAGTTTTTTTATATGTAATTTTTATTTTTTATTTCTTTACCAATATGTAAATAAAATGAATTGAAAAAACTTGATATTTTGCCTCGGTAATAGAAATGTGACAAATAATTTGGGACGGAGGGCGTATATAGCTATAATGCTCGTGAAAACTAAAGTATTTAATTAGGCATATTATCGGCTTATTCACGGTATGTAATCTGGCATGCCAACATTATGAATCAGAGTAAGTATATTGGAACTTACCAATAGAAAATGTGCAAGGCAATATAGAATCAAACAATTAACGGATATGTATCTAGTAAATCGAAGAAGAACAGTAATCGAATATGCACGATAAAATGGGGGAAACATACCAATTACTATTAGCAGTGATTATAGAGCCAATGAATCTCGATTCTGATTTTTGAATCTCAATTTGGGGTATTTTAGATCTAAATGAAGAGAGAGGTTAGGATGAAAAGATACAACACATTCAAATTTCCTTTGGCGACGAAGAGAAGCCATAATTGAATCGAGAGAGAAGATCGGCCGAAATTTTGAGTTTCCTTTTGAAGAGATAGCAACAAAAAATCCTAGAAATTGTTATATAATCCCAATCGAGATGGAGAAATAACTTATCGAAATCAGTGCTCTTTAGAATTTCGGCTTTCCTGATGAATATCAGATCTAGATTTCCGATGAGAGAGGATGAAGATCCGAGTCTGCTGCCGTCCACTGGAAGCCTATCGGCCAAATTTACTCTGAGTTTGGCCGCTACAGGGAAGGAAAAAAATGACGGAGTATTTTTGTTCTATCATATTTTTGGCATTAATGCAGCGAGGAATCAGCCTTGAACCATCCGTAGTTTCCTTGCAGGTTTTCTTTCCTTCTGTAAAATCGATTCCCAGTCCCTCGCTAGAGAGAAGAAGAATCGGTTCTGGGAGATATGCGATTTCCTCTCTTAAACACCCGCGTGTACCCTGACCTGTAATCAAATTAGGAGTCTTAATTTGCCACGTGTCAAAATTCTAGGCTATCAACTCTTAAATATTATATTAAAGGATTTGGGTAAAATTTTACTTACAGTAAAATATTCCTTAGTAACATACTTAAAAATACTCCCTCCGTCACGGAAAATATTTTCGGATTTGACTTTATGGTGTTTAAGGGAAGTTTTTTTAGTGTTTCCAATTTTACCCTTAAGGTTTTTTGAAAAAAGAGATGTTTCAAATCATGACATATAAGAACTGTATGTTTTTATCCCAAAATATAAGTACAATGCATAAAACGCCAATATATAGTAGCAAAAATACTGTGAGATGTCACTATACATTATCATAATGTCACGATGCAAATTTCTATTTTGAAGTTAAAAAAACATGGAACTTATATTTTGATGACAAATGCTACGAAGTACTCCCTCTGTCATAAAATGATCTTCTCAGTTCGATTTACGAAGTTTGACTGTTTTTATTTTCAATTCAATTTATTTGATTATAGGTGTAAAATTAAAAAAATATATATATTTTAAACCTACATCAAAAGTTCTACAAAATAAGAGGTGATATGAATATATTATTTTATCAAATAAGTAACGAAAATATGTAAAGAAAATGATTGAAATTTGACCATGTGAATAGTGTGTTAGAAAAACGCCCCAACGCTAGAGGGGGGTGAATAGCGTTTAAACGAAAAACGTTGCAGGAATAAAAAATTAAGAACATGAAAAGTAAAGAGCGTAGAAAGCGTAAAGAGAGCACACCAAGATTTATACTAGTTCACCATAACGTGTGGCTAGTCTAATCTCCCGAGAGACTCTCTCGAGCTACACTACTTCCGTTAAGCTTACGGGTGCTTAACAAATCGTTACAACCTGATCGAGAACTCGAGTCCTACGAGCCTCAATACACTTGCTTGGAGATACCGCACTCCAAGACTTCAACCCGAAGGAAAATACCTTTCCTTCGTACAACCAAGGGAAACAAGCTTCCCTTAACGTGTATAGAACACTAAGAACACTCAAGAACAAAGCTCTATCAAAAGAGTAGATATGAGTAAAATAATACGCTCAAGAACACAACACAAACTTCACAAAAATGGATCTCGAAAAGCTATGGAAAATGTATGAATGTAATGCAATGAATAATAGTAGTTGTGAAGTATTGTGATATGTAAAGCAGACCCAAGCACCCCATTTTATAGTAAAAAAATAGGCTCCAACGGGTAGGAGTTGAATGGGGGTGATTGGCACAATTTGTGAAATTTGATTAAAATTGGATCTGTTGAAAATCACCCTGGCACCGCTGTCCATTAGACCATTACTTGGACATCGCTGTTGTAGGCTTGGTTTTTGAAAAATGGGAAGCAATGGTCAAGCCAACAGCGCTGTCCAAAAATGGAACATCGCTGTTCAGGCTATTGACTTCCAAACTTGGAATAGCCTTTAATTTCTTCCAACGGTCAGGTGCCTACATCGATGTTCATTACTTGAACATCGCTGTTCAAGCTTGGCCTTGAAGGAAGAAGGATGCCCTGACATCGCTGTTGCTGAGTCAACAACGCTGTCCAAAAACTTTCTGCCAAAGGCATTTTCTTTTGGCTTAGGTTGAACATCGATGTAGAGATGTCTACATCGCTATTCCAGATGTTTCTAGAATTTCAACCTTGGCTCAACAGCGATGTATAATGTCCAACATCGTTGTTGGAAGACTTAACACTGAACCATGGTTTTCAGCAACCAATGCCAGACAGCGCTGTTGGTTACTCCAACATCGTTGTTAGGCTGGTTTAGCCAGACCCATGGCTGGTCAGTCATGTCGTAAGCCGATGTCAAAAATCAAAGTTCTCCAAAATAAAAACGAAGTGTTGAAAACTTTTATTTAAAGTATTTTGCTAAGAAATCAAGTGAGACATCTTAAAAACCACGTCATTTAAGTAAAAACCACGGCTAGCCAAGTTTATGCCGTTTCCGTGGTTTTTACCAAACGACTAAAAACGAAGGATGATTTTTAAAGTGTTTTTGTTGGAGAACTATTTAAATGTACCCAGAAGTAAGAATCAATCATAAAATGTTGAAAACCACTTGGTTGGTTCGGATGCCAAAAACCAACGCTGATAACCAAATGCCGAACGCCGGTTTTTGGAAACTGAATGTCGGTTTCTGAAAACCGGAACGCCGGATGGCTTGGTTTTTGGTTTGGGCGAACACCAATTGTTTTTAGGCTTATTTAAAACTTGTGAAAAACATTTTTGAAGATGTAAAAAGATATTTTAATGCAATGAGCCTAGAGAGCCAAGTTTTAGAAGTTTGTGCCGGTCTTGATCACATTAAGACCGACTCAACTAATTCTATGTTTTCGTTCTTTGTTCTTGGTCTTTGTTTTCACTTCATCACCACGCCATGTTTCTTCGCCTTTGATTTGCTCAATTTGTTCTTGTTTTCGCGGCGGTTTGGCATTATCAAAACCTGTCATAAAACGAACACGGTTTAGTGCGGCATAGACGTAAACCCGTGTTTCAACATAGTGACTGAGAAGATCATTTTAGAACGGAGTGAGTATGTTTTACTCTTATTTGGGATGATTTCTTAAAAAAATTATATTAAAAATTTGTGGCACAATTTTTTGATACTTATTCTAATTATTTCTCAGAATGTAAAAAATTGTAACGCTAATTTGAAATTTTTTAATTTTAGAATGTTGTTTCATGATTTTTCTTTTTGAATAAACTATCAGGAAAACAAATTTTCGCAAAACGAAATTACTTTTTTTTGACGATTCAAATAGGTTTTGTACAAATAATTTTCAAAAGCGAAGCTATGAATCAATTTTTCATAATCATTGCAATTTTTGTACAAAATATTTTTTCGGATATTTTTTCCATAGTGGGGCACTAGGAATTACTTTTCTCATAATCAATTATATTTTGAAATTACTTTTCAGATATTTTTTACGAGTAATTTTTTTTAGTTAGGAAATATAAAAAAATATAACCCGTACGCCCTTGGCATAGACGTTTTTGAGAGTGATGTTATTTTAGTTTTTTTAATATTATTACTCGATACCATTTGTTTTTCTTGAAATTGCACTACAAATTATTCTTCTGATAATATATACATTAGTATTCTAACATAATAATACAAAGTCGTAAATCGTTATATTTTTAAAAGGGAAATTTACGTAAATAACATTAAAACATAATGACTTTCCCTAAATAGCATCACATGTGTTTTTTCTCAATGTAGCACTTTTAGTCATTATTCATTAGTCATTATTCAAGTAAATATTCTTCATCACTAGACATTATAGACATTATTAAGTACTATTTAAAGAATAAAAAGATTAAGTGCTATTTAGGAAAATGACTTAAGTTTTAGTGCTATTTAGTGCAAATATTTCTTTTTAAAAGTTAAAACTATGTTGAGTAGTGTTTCAGTGGCCCTTAATACTACTTGAGATAATACAACTAGATCTTTTATTTCCTATAAAAGCTCAATTCTTTTTAATTTTCTCAATTCTAAGATTCATATACTCCATCCGTCCCTAAATAAAGTTCATCTTTCGTTTTTTCTTTGTCCCTAAGTAAACTTCTCTTTTCCCTTAAAAAACCCTTTTACCCCTTACTTTTTCATACCCTACCTATCACATCATACCTTTTTACTAATAATCTACCTATCACATCTTACTTTAACACATCACATCAAGGGTATTTTTGGAAAGTCAACAACAAAATATCCCTCCCTTAAATCCTCAAAAAGTCAAAAATGGAACTTTATTTAGGGACGGAGGGAGTAATAAGTTTGGACCCAGAGTCTAACCTAGGAACCTATACTAATAGAAATGTTATACGGAGCAGTGGAAAGCATATAAATAAGAATCTCAGAATGGAGAATGAAATTGTAATTGTTTACAATTTACATTGCTCATTATAATTACTAAGATCTTCTCAACAATTATTACATCCCTTTCTCAAGATTTCCCACGAGGAAAAGTAAATAAGACAACATTATGATTAACCCCAATGGTAGTTTGTTTATCAGTTTATCCTCCACTACACACTACTCTTTCAATCCCAATATCGTCCTAGTGGAACATCGAATATTTTCTCCGTCCCAAAATGATATAACGACGTGTAAAAATCTTTGAATTTTGAAATTATTTATTTATAAATTAGTATAGAAATAAAAAAATAAAACTTACATATTTCAAAATTATACCGTATCAAATAAAAGTTTTATATGTTAAATAAAATGTAATAAGAGTATTTTATTTTATCAAACGATCGATAAAAACTAGCAATGCAAACAATCAAGATTTACAGAGAGACCGTTTTAGTAAAGAGTTAAATTATTTTGGGGTAAGGAGTATATATATGACATATTGTGGAGTGATCAACTCCCACATCGTCTGTGTAGCCTATTATTATGCAGTTTATAATAGTCTGGGTGCATCATCTTTTTCAGTTAACTTTTGGGATTGAATTATAGTAAAGTAGCCAAGTCTACCAAAGCTTATGACATGCTGTGGAGTGATACACTGGGAATAATATAAATTTTCCATTAGTTGCAAAGGATCATTATTTTTTTTCAATTTTAAAATATAATTTCATCATAGATATAAAGTCAATAAGTAAATATTTTATTCCTATTTTGTAGATTGTAATTCAATACCTCTTATGTGCATTTGTAGAAAGTATAATATAAGAAAATGCAAATTTAAAAATGGTAACTCACAATACCATCATTGTTTTTATAAATTTAATACCTAACATGATTAGGGGGGGGGGGGTTTAAGGGAGGTCTAGCGTGGGGGCGCAGGGGTCGTCTGGGGAGGTGATGTGGTGGGGGGTTAGGGACGAGCTTAGGGAGGTAAGAATCGTCAATTTTAGAGCGGAGTACCGACACAATTCCAAATGAGCGAGTGTCATCCGTTGATACTGGAATACAGTGTCAATAGAACCTTGCCTTTATAACATTGTCATATTTATTTTTCACTAAATTTTTTATAACATAATTAATTCATTATGCCGTAACCCAACATTAAATTTATTTCTTTTTATTAATAATTTTTGATACAATACCACATTTATCTTTTTCTAATTTCATTATGTAACACAATTTATTTTATCATATCACAAAAGGTAAATAATTAATTTTTTCATTAATAAAAAAATAAATAAATAATCAACGGATGTTACAAAATAAAAAATTCTTTATTTGTCCTAATATTTTATGTAGATTATGCTAATATTTTGTTAATCTAAACACATTCCGTTTGTTTGAGAATAGTTTTAAATATAATTTTATCAGTATTAAAATTTTAATTTTAAAACCTGAACTAAGTTTAAATTCATACTGAGGAGATATTGACATGAATATATTATTTTACCAAAAAATGTTCATATATCCAAAACTCGTATGTAATTTTTAGTACTAATTGAAACTTGAGCAAAAATGTTATAAATACTAAATTTGAATTAATGAGTTTTTGAATGGAAGAACTCTCGAGATAGGAGTAAAAAACTATAAAAAATGTCAAAATATTAGTCATAAGTCTTTTAAGACTAAAATAAGAGTTCATACTGTCATAGTTACACTGACACACTCACCACATTGTCGCATTGTAACTGCCACACTTTCATCGCCACACTGCTATCTGTCACCACCGGCCACCAGTATCGCCGCAGATCACCGACGATTGACTGATTATACTTACATATTACACTATCATCACTTTTTCATCTCATTATTGTCAACGCATACTTTACACCAAACTCCCATTGTACTTCTATTTTGGTCTTAAAAGACTTATTATTCATATTTTTGTACTTTTATACTTTTTACTTATATCTAGGGAATTTTTTTTGAAAAGTAATTATCATATTATTCCCGTGTCGTATTTACAAGAGTTTTAGCGGTGCCAAATTTTTCTAAAACAGATCAATTTATTCTCGTGCCGCATTCACAATGCTTCGTACAAAATAAATTTTCTATTAAAATTAGTTACAAGTGTACTTATTAGTATGAGAGGTCTTCTAAATTTGAATTATTTGACTAATTTGAGCAGAGTAACAATTTGATATGATTGATGATGATGATAATAATAGAATATGAATTGATTTTATATCTAAAGAATTTTTCAAATACTTTAACGAGTTAGACTATTAATAAATTAACTAATTAATTTGGCGAGAGAAATATTCTGTCACAACTCACAACTACTCTATTAGTTCAACATATCTCGAGGCATTATCAATGTGTTAGTATTGGTTGGCTAGACTATTTTTTACATTCACACACATGGATATAAGAATTTTCAAAGTAAGATTAATTAGCAAATTGGTCATATAAATTAATTAGAACATCATTACAATTACTAGAAACTTAGCATTTTAATTAATTAAATTTAATTTTTCAATATAGTTTTTTTTCTTACATATAATACCACTATCCTATTTCAGTTCACATCCTTAAAATATATAAACTAGCATAGATATTATAAAAATTACATAAATTAAATAATAGAACATTTCTATTAAAATATTTCAGAAAATTTTCTACTTTTAGAAAAGTAAAATTGAAACAAAAATGGAACAAAAACTCCAATTATATAAAAAATATTCTTAAATCTTGCCACTTTAGAGAGAGGAGAAGAGAGAGAAGTGAGTTGGTTGATGATGAGGAGGCTTGGGGGCTGGGGCGCCGTATTTATTGGCTTGAGAAGACCAAGGCGGGCGCCTGACGGGGGCAATTGGGTCACTCCAGACGGGGGCCTGGGCCCAAAATCGACATATTTCTTGAATGTTCACCATTTTGTTCCTTCAAGACCCGGTTCTATCTATTTTCAACTCGTTAACTTCCATTCGAATCATTTTTCTTTTTATCTGATTTTGGAATGCTTCAAAGAACTAAATTTTATTTCGAATAATCTTTTTATTAATATATTTGATAAACAAAAAATTTTAGAATAAAATTATTTGAATATCTTGATTTATTTCTATTTACGTGCAAGAACATTTAAAATATAAGATTAAAATAGGTACAAAAATGGACTTATCAGAAGGACTAGTTGTTAAAAGAAAGTGAATATTTGTTATTATTATTGCCTCGTATATGGTTGTTTCCTAGTTTTCATGGTTTCCTTGTTCCTTTAGGATTGTACTTTTTTGTACCTATATATACCATATTATATCAATAATAATGGAAGAGAGAATATTTTCCAAAAGATTGTTTCCCGTAACATGGTATCAGAGACATTCTAAAACCCTAAGAACAAACATTGCCGTCTGAACCATGAGTGTCCCGCTTGAACCAAACCATCTATTGGCTCTCACTACCACTCCATTACTGGTGGATCTAGAGAAATATAGACGTTTGGTGGGTCATTTGGTCTATTTTTCAGTTACTCGTCGTGAGTTATTATATGTAGTCAATACTCTCGCACAATTTTTGAAGAAGCCACTTGAAGAGCATTGGACAGAAGCTTTTGAGGTGGAACGTTACTTGAAGGGTCAACCAGGGCAAGATTTTTTCTTATCTTCCACCAATACTATGCAGTTGACATTTTGGTGTGTCCACTGTCCACTAACCCGACCATCCCTGATTGTTTGATTTGTTCAACTTGGTGATTCTCCCGTCTCTCAGAAAACAAAAAACAAACCACAGTGGCAGGTTCTTTTGTAGAGGCTGAATATAGGGCTCTCGGTGCTGAATATAGGGCTCTTGGGATTGTTCATTCAGCACCTATGCTCATTAGATGTGATAGTAGAGCTTCTCTTCATATGGCTGCCAATCCCTTATTTCACCGTGCTCGAAACACATTTAGGTTGATTGCCACTTTGTTAGTGATGAGCTTCTACGATGAGTCATTTGCATTGACCACATATTCACCATACATGCACTTGCAGATATGCATACCAAGGCATTGAGAAGGCACAACTCGAGCTTTTACTTCCCAAGTTGGGCATTTCTATCTTACATGCATGTTCCAACTTGTAGGTGGTGGGTGTTAAAGGTAAGTGAATTTTTGTTATTATTATTATTATTGCCTTGTGCATGGTGGTTTCCTAATCTCTTGGTTTCCTTGTTCCTTTGCGATTGTACTTTTGTACCTATATATTCCAATATAACGTATTGTATCAAGAATAATAGAAGAGAATATTTTCCCAAAGATTGTTTCTCGTAACACTAGTGCATAGCCTTTTCAGCAGATTGAATGGGTTTGTTGGCTCGTGAATCGTACTCGACCATTTGGGACGAGTAGTTTAGTACCAACATCGTCTGGTGGAGTTCTTTCACCCAAATTGAGAGATGAGGAGGGCCTCAAACGACCTCCTCTATGAGATGACATCGGACCCCACAATCGTTGCAATGCCACATACCCTTACTCTTCTTCCACCAGTATCAAATTTACTTAGACTAGATGTAATGCCCAAACTTACATCACGTGACATCTATTTTAAAACCGAGAGAGCATGAGCCTGTTTTTATGTAATCCAATTTACTGAAATTAGTCCGAATTTACATTTACCACCCCAACAAATTTATTACTCTCCAATATCATTTCACCCAAAATTTTACCATCCCCTACTTTATGTCAATTTTAATAAAGCTAGAATCTATGTTCCTTTATATGTTATTATATATCAAAAGCCCACATTTCTAACTTTACTCACACACTATAAATATATGGATACATGTCCATCACCATTCACCACAATCTATCCTACATTTACATTCTCATTACCTCGTCTTCATCTTAGTGAAAATACATTACTCTTTTTTCTTCTTGCTCTTCTTCTCAATCCCATTATTTAATACACTTAAAACACTGACAATTTTCACAACACATACACATATACATATACCCCGAGTATATATATAGTTACCAGTCTTATCAATATCAGCACATCCACATCAATAAATAAATTAATAAATATAGATGATATACATTTAAATATATATATATATATATATGTATATGTATATATAGACACCTACACAGTACACACCCCACCCCCCCAACTTGAAGGAGCCTGCTGGTTACGTATGCGGTATCTTCCCCGCAGTTTTCGCTAGAAAATCTCGCAGAAAAATTCTGGGTTTCCCTCATTCCCTCTGTCTCTATATTATCCTAATTTCTCCTGGAATCATATCTTCTTCTGGATAGAGTTTCGAACTTATCCCCAAGAACCCTCAGATTCTTGTTTCGACGAAATTAAGATAACACAATGGGCCGGGTTTGATGATCTAACACTTCATCAGTTCTGTGGGGATTTGGTGTTTTGTTGTTTTGATACATACATACATACATACATATATGGAGTATTTGAGAGAGATAGAGGGGAAAAGAGCTCATGATCGCCGGTATGGTACGACGATGAAGAAGAAGACGAGGTGCGAGTGCGTGGAGGGGCCGATCATCGTGGGTGCGGGCCCCTCCGGGCTGGCGGCCGCCGCTTGCCTGAAGGAAAGCGGCGTGCCGCCGGGCGTGGTGCTGGAGAGGTCGGACTGCGTCGCGTCTCTCTGGCAGCACAAGACTTACGACCGCCTGTGCCTGCACCTCCCGAAGCAGTTCTGCGAGCTCCCGTTCATGCCGTTCCCGGAGGACTTCCCGACGTACCCGACGAAGCAGCAGTTCCTCGAGTACGTCAGGCAGTACGCCGACCGGTTCGACATCCGGCCGGTCCTCAACCAGACGGTCCGGTCGGCTGGGTACGACCGGGCCGCCGGGTTCTGGAGGGTGGTCACGACAGCCACCGCCGCTTCCAGGGGGAAAGAGGAGGAGGGGGAGGAGGCGGTGGAGTACGTTTCGCGGTGGCTGATCGCCGCCACCGGGGAGAACGCGGAGGCGGTGGTCCCGGAGATCGCCGGGATGGAGGCGTTCTCCGGGACCATAATGCACACAAGTTTGTACAAGGAGGGAGAGGTGTTTAGGGATAAAAGGGTTTTGGTGATTGGCTGTGGGAATTCAGGAATGGAGGTGTGTTTGGATCTATGCAATCATAATGCTGCCCCTTCACTTGTGGTCAGAGATACAGTAAGAGCTCAATAACAACCCTATTTTCTCCTATATATATCTCTCTCTTTTTTTTCTTTTTTTATTTTCCAAGTTTTATTCTTCTTTGGAAAAGAATTTGTTAATCATCTAATTAACGTGAGACCCAATATGAAAAAAGCAATTTTGTATGCCCTTAGGCTTAGGGTATAGGGTACTCCATTTTTAAATTTTGCAAAAAAGATTATTTTACCATACAAAACGCCAAATATTTGAATTCACTTCTTTAAAACAATGATTAAGAATTATCATGCCTATTGTGAAGTTCTTGCACGTACCAAAGACAAATTTAATCTCTTATTTTGTCGAAACTAGAATTATAAATTAATTTGAACTCTTGGAAGTTATTTTTAAACATGAGAACTCTAGGGATGTGATTTATATATATTTTTTGCTAAAACCATATTTTATGCATACTACTTGTAAAAACTAAACCAAAATAAAAAGATTTTTAATAATAATGTTCATATATATTAAATTAACCTTTTAAATAGTAGGTAAATTGTGGTATATATGCATTATATATACAACAAAAAAATCAATTTTGTTGGCTTTAAAATGTGTGTAATTTGCGAAAATAATATTTAAAATAGTTTCCGTTCCTACTTTAGTTTTATTTTCATGTTGTTTTGGATTCAAAAAAGTGTGTCATGGGGTCTTAAATTAGCCCATCTTTTCCCTTTCATACTTTTTTATTGGGTGAAATATTATTAGTTTTCTTGTTTGCAACTGGTCCAAAAATTTTACAACAAAACAAAGAATTATCCCACTAGGTAGAGTCGGCTTGGACCAAAAATTACTCCCTCCGTTCTTGAATAGTACTCCCTCCGTTCCACAAAACCCTTCCTCTTTCGTTTTTTTGCTTTCCACAAAACACTTCCACTTTATATTAAAAAACCACTTTTACCCCTACTTTTTCATACTCTATCTATCACATCATACTTTTTCACTAATAACCAAACAATCACATCTTATTTTTTCTTATCACATCAGGGGCAAAATTGGAAAGTCAACCAAAATTACACTTTCCTTATTTTTTCCCAAAGTCAAAGGGTTTTGTGGAACGGAGGGAGTATTTGTTTACTTTTGACTTTTTCGATCAGAATTGATAAATTTTAACTTCAAATTAAATAAAAATGATATTATATACTAATACAAAAATAATTTTATTGAATTTATCATATCAAATATTTTCAAAATATTATTTTATTTAATTAATATAAAATATATATTTTAATTAATTATAAGTCAAAGGGTAAAAACATTTGACAGAAAAAAATTATAACTGAACAAATACTCAGTGACGGAGGTAGTACGTTCTTGGCCTAAACTTAATTATTCACTTATTATTATAATTATTAATTATTTTGAAAACTTATTATTATTATTATTAATTATTTTGAAAACTTATTATTATTATTATTTGTGAAGTGTGGAAAAGAGTAAAGTCAGATTATTAAATTTTTTGTCGAGTTTTCCGCGTGATTTAATTATTTTAGTATTTTAATTTAATTTTTTTTTTGGGTGGGGGGGGGAGCTCAAGTTCCAATAGCGGTTGGTAGATCTTCTAAAATGTCAATATGCTAACAGTGATATGATCTTTTTAGCGTACTCTAAAAAGAAGGGATCTTTCTAATCATGATAATCCACAGCTAATATTGGATTATTATTTTAATTAGAGTGATATCATAAATAAATGTATTTATTTAATATTTTTTTGTGCTTTCTTGGAACTCCCAAGCATGCGCAAAAAGCCCCCATAGGTCATATGTTTATTTATTATTTTTGTCATAAGCTATTGATATCAACTTACATCCCATTAATTATTTGGATTTGCTATCTCATCAACTTATTTAATGATTAGGAAAGCATATTTATTTGTATTATTATGTGACTTAAGCAAGAGAAACAATATGACAATGCATTTTTGAATTATTAATGTGAAAAAAAAACTATAGGAATTTCTTTTAGAAGTTAACTTATTTTGACTCTCAAAGAACTTTTTTTTTATAAAACACAACTCTTTAAACTAATAGTGTATTTTCTTTATATATTTTCATCTATGATATGTAACTCTTATTTTATAAAAAAAATTAGTGTATTTTATTTTTATTTTTTGATTCTGCAAATTTATTTAAGATAAGTTGCATAAAAATATTTATTCAAATATCGTAAACTAAAATGAGACAAAAATGAGATGGAGAGAGTTTTTTTTTAAACTTTTTTTTGGTCATGTATATGTAAAAACTTTAATTTAGTAATAAGCCTCTTAGATTTTCTCTAATAAAAAAAGTCTCTCCTGATGTGACATTAAAAAAAACTTTTTGACTTGTAGCATATTTATTGGCCGAAGGGAATAAGTTACCATATGCTTTTTCCGCTAATCGGTCATGCCCAAAATATATGGTTCCATGCCATAAAAAGTAATTCCTCCCTCCCAATTTTTTTTTTAAAATTTTCTTTTGTAGTATTTAGGTTGTCCCAAGAGATTCTTATAGTTTCCATTTGGGAAAAATTCTTATAGATTCTTGAATTTTTTCGTTAAGTTCATTGACATGGTATCAAAGTTTTGTTGATCAAGAGATTATAAATTCAAAATTCATCGTCACCCCATTCAGAAAAAGTTAAAACTTCACGTTCAGAGCTCAAAAATGTAACACATGCACGTGAAAAGCACATGTTAGAGTATATATAAAAAAAAACTTTTCTTTGATCACACCCACAAATTTGAGCTTTTGAGTCACTCAAAATTTTCTAAAAAAATTTAATTTTTTTAAGACATTCCAAAAAAGAAAAAAAAGAGTGTTTTTCTAATGAAATTAATTAATACTCTCTCCGTTTTTTAAAACACTTCATCTTTCATTTTTTTTCACTTCCAACAAAACACTTCCACTTTCTATTAAAAAATCACTTTTACCCTTACTTTTTCATACCTTACCTATCACATAATACTTTATTTCTAATAATCTATCCATCACATCTTACTTTTACCTATCACATCAAGGGCAAAATTGGAAGTCAACTACAATTTAATACTTCCTTATTTTTACACAAAGTCAAAATAGGAACACTTTTTTCAAACATAAGGAGTAAAAAAGAGAGAATAATGGCCCTGGTGAAAAAGGGGCAGCCAAAACCATCACCTCCAGAGTGGCAGATTACTGTCCATTGTGTTTGTGTGGCCCTTTTCCCCTTGCATTTACTTATTTGTCATTCCCCCCCAAAACTTTTTTATTTTTTTCCTCTTATTTTCTTCTCTTTTGGAAGAAATTCTTCTTCATATATCCCTCTTTTTTCTGTTTATATTTTACTTTATTCCATAATTAACCCCCTTTTTTTATTTTTCAAATTTTTTTTTTAAAAAAAGGTCCACGTCCTACCACGAGAGATGATGGGGAGATCAACTTTTGGGCTGTCCATGTGGTTACTCAAATGGCTTCCGGTCCGAATTGTCGACCGCTTCTTGTTGGCGGTTTCCTGGCTGACCCTCGGCGACACCGCCCGCCTCGGCCTCCCCCGCCCGCCCGTCGGCCCGTTAGAGCTCAAAAACATCTCCGGGAAAACCCCCGTCCTCGACGTCGGGACCCTCGCCAAGATCAAAACCGGCCACATCAAGGTATATATGTTTATATATTGAAATATTTGCACTAAATAGACTGGATTGAAAATAGGTCGTCATAGATATGATTACTTCAAAACAAAAAATAAATGTTGATGTGGCAATCGAGACTTCCTTACGGAGTAAAGAATCGATTAACTAGACCTAAATCCAGATCATGTGAATAGTAAATAGGAAACATGTAACGTTCTCACGTGGAAGAATCACAATTATGCCATTCGAAAGAAGGAAGAATCAATTAACTGGAACTTAAATAGTTCATTCATGACATATATAGAATAACAATCATGCTACTTTTATACCAAAAGTATATCCCAAGTTGTACACTATAGGTGTGTCCAGAAACTTTGACACTTCACACTGACATAAAATACTAGTGCAATCAAAAAAGTTTATTCTAGTATTTTGTGTCATTGTGAATCATTATTTCACTGACCCAAAGTGCCGGTGGCTCGGTGCACAACCATGGTGTACAACTTGGGCACAATCTTAAGTGTACAATAGATTTATTCATAGAGAATAACTCCAACAACACCAAATCAATGTTGTAGCATATTATAGTAGTACTATATTGCAGCAATAATAATAATAGTATGATCTTTGAGTAGAGTCCAAATTAGAATAGAGTATAATATGTACTTATCTTCCCCCTTTTTTTTATATTATAAATAGGAGGGACTGAATCTCCTTTCTTTTCACTTTTTGCATTACGGCCATGCATGCATCACATGATGATGATCTTTTCTTAGTCACACTCAATCATTGCCCAATATATTGCACTTCCTATCCTATCACTACTATGCTTTTCATCAACTCCATTTCTGCCTAAACAAATCAAATGATCTAACACCACTTCTCTTTCTTGCTTCTTTTCTCACTCTTTTTTCCCCTTTCTTTCTTGGACCCATAGATTCCATTTTATCTCTGAATATTTTGTGGGTTTTTGGAACATTTTGGGGGAGTTTTGATTGTGTGTGACACATATGATGACAAGAGACTTGAACATACATAAAAAGGATGAACCCTCGGACCCTATTCTTACTTAAGTCTTTCTCGACTAGTCGACCGGACGGCTATATAAGAGAAGTGAATTGAATTACTCTCTATGATATTAGTTTAACTTTTTTCCAACATATAATTAGTACGTGATATCTATCCCTAGTGTGTGCATTAGTTCTATACTACATGTTATCACCTTTCATCATCGTTGTCAAGAGTTCATCGAAATTTGATGAGACTTAGAAAGTGTGTGATGAAGAAAGTAAACTCACAACAAAAATCTAGAGGACTAACTTTAGTATTTATGGTCCACTAGAAAATAGGGCAAATGACTTTCACAAGTCATTTTCCTATTTCTGAGTTTTAGTTTGTTTGACTAGTTGTTTATGAAAAATGAATCTTATTTTGAGATTTTTTTTTGTTTTTGGTAAAAGACATTTTCCACCCATTTTCATGTCTTTTATATCGAAACTCACTGTATTTTCTTATGTTATAACAACAAAAAGTATTTTTTTTATTTTCCAAATTTTCAATCAAATACAAGAAAATGAATTTATTTTTAATACTCTATGTAGAGAAAAAAGGATAACACATCATCCCCTCAGTCCACTCAGACCTCGTCCAGACAGAACACTTTTGAAAAGATAAATGAAGTTCAATTCTGATTTCAAGTAATCAATAAGAAATGAGATCGGTCCCTAGCCCTAGTAAAAAATGTTTGTGCAGAATAAATATATATATACTTCCTCCGTCCCACTATATTTGTCCACTTTCATTTTTGCACACCATCCAATGCACTTCTTTAATCCATTTTATCTTGTAATTTGTATATTAAAAAATTATAGAAATTATATATTAATAATTTATATGTTAAGACAAATCAAACAAGATCACGCATGACTATATTTAGGCTTACACATTGAAAGAATTTGATGAGTCAAAGTGCTTAGATGAACAGTTCCAAAAGTCAAAAGTGGACGAATATAGTGGGACGGAGGGAGTATATATATATATATATATATATATATATATATATATATATATATATATATATATATATATATCATCCCACACTTATTCCCACTAAGAGTCGAACCCGACTTTTTTTTTTCTGCAATTCTTATTGACCACTTGAACAACGACCTCTGAGCATACTTTGAGGAGAGAAGAGAAAAGTGGTGGGAACCCCCAAAATGGGGTCTTGCCCTACCTAAACCACAAAGATCTTTGCGTGTTTGTTTCCCCATAACTTTGAGTGCATTGATGTGACCCACAAAAAAAAAGTACTTTGTTATATTACTAGACAACAAATTTATCATATAAATTAACTAACTAATTAATTAACCCATGCAGGTTTACCCCGGCATCCAAAGGCTAAAGAGACACACCGTTGAATTTGTAAATGGGAAAGAAGAGCCTTTTGATTCCATAATCTTAGCAACTGGCTACAAAAGCAATGTGCCCTCTTGGCTAAAGGTACCTACCCTACACAAAAACCCTTCTCTTTTTTCTCGACGAAAAAGTCGCGTTCCTTTAATTTTTAACGATAATTTAAATTTTTCGCGACGTCTAGGATCAAGAGATGTTCTCGGAGAAAGATGGATTGCCCAAAAGGCCATTTCCCAATGGTTGGAAGGGGGAATGTGGGCTCTATGCTGTGGGGTTCACCAAACGTGGACTCTTAGGTGCATCCATGGATGCCAAAAGAATTGCCCAAGACATCAAACGTTGTTGTCATCATACATGAATACATATACATATACATACATATATATAAATATATATCTATATATATATGTATATATATATATATACATATATATGTATATATATGTATGTATGCATTGGCCATATAAGCTACGATGATGACGAAAAGAAATATGTATGTACACACACGGTAGGGTTTGACAGAGTTTGAGAAGGAAGAAGGGTCAAAATCTTGATTGGTGAAGTTTTGTGGGTACAAAGTTGCACAAAAGAGAAAATATGGGGACTAAAACTGCAATTTGCCATACACCTTGTACATTTTCTTTTTTTTTTTCCCTCTAATTTGATAGGCCGGGTAGACTTTTTTTTTATAAAGCTTTTTTTGTGTATTTGTATGAGGCTTTTTTTTTGTTTTTTGTTTTTAGTTTTGTATTATGTCGTAGAAGAGCTCCATTAATGTAACACGTTTGCATCGCTTATATATCACACGTATCTATATACTCCTTTCATCTTGTTTTACATTTTGTTTCAATTTATGATCTTATTTTTATATATTGGTCTTGAATATGGACTATGATTTAACAATTTACCTTTTTGGAAATTATATCCAAATCCCTGTATAAAATGATGCTAGTTTAACGATATTAATTTAGAAAAAGAAAAACGTTAGAATAAACAGAACCGCTCCTATTTGAACAAAAGTGATATGTTTTAGTCTCATTTCCGTGAATTACCCTTAAAAAATTTAATGAAGATGCTATGTAAGAAGAAAGATATTGATGCTTGATCTTATGAATAGACTATACTAGTAAAAAAATTATACTAGTAAATCAAAATAGATGGAGTATATAAATAATACTCCATCGGGCCAAAAAGAATAGTCTTTACATGCAGCATATACACATTTACATGTATCATCATAATATTTTCTCCCTTCGTCTCACAAAATCTTTCCACTTAAGTTAAGTGACAATTACCTTTGTCGTCGTACATCTATGATGAGACTCATAGTAAGCAAGTTATGTTTGAGGCTATATATATTAACTAATAACACACTTTCAATACTGATGCTACATCTTTTTTGGTGGTTCCGGTTACGTTCCAATGACCTTGCCTTTGTTGTTGTCGCCGAATATTACACTTCATCACCATTATATTCATAGACTTTATTTAATTTAAAATTACAAAAAAAATAGATGCATCACTGGTCATGTGTTTAGAGCATCCGCTATCCACGTGCAGTACTGGTACTAAATTATACTACCTCCGTCCCGCTATATTCGTCCACTTTTGACTTTTGGAATTGTTCATCTAAGCACTTTGACTCATCAAATTCTCTCAATGTGTAAGCCTAAATATAGTCATGTGTGATCTTGTTTGATTTTTCTTAACATATAGATTATTAATATATAATTTCTATAATTTTTTAATATACAAATTGCAAGATAAAATGGATTAAAGAAGTGCATTGGATGATGTGTAAAAATGAAAATGGACAAATATAGTGGGACGAAGGAAGTACTTGATGTCTTCAACTAAAAGATGTGGTTGTATTTATTGGAAACGTTTAGGTGCCTTAAGGGTGCTCGGGGTTAGCACGTACATCATCATAAACAAAATCATGCATAGCCTGCCTATTTTTAGATATCATCCAAAGCTTAATTAAGCAAAAACTCTTCTTGGGTTGTGTTCTATGATCGATACTACATTACTACAATATAATTGTGCACTAATCTAGAATCACAATACATATTGTTAGAATTTTATGTGAAGGAAAAATGCTGCGAAGCAGCGTTAAAGACATTGGTGAACAAAGAACGAGATGATCGACTTGATGGTTTTAATGAATCCTGTAGAACATTTTCAGATCAAAGTTATTTTGGGGTACACTAAAATACTTTAATCGGATTAGAGATTGATCAAGAACAAGCACTTCGAAATTCCATTCTCTCAACCATACCTGCGAATATAAATATTTATAGAATCGAAAATCAATGAGCAGCATGTATGTTCACGTAAGGAAGCAAACTAACGTTCGCGCAAAGAGGTTCTTGTGGTTTCGGGCCAATTTGGACTTTTATCCGTACGTCTGAATTATTTTATGCTTTGGACTCCGTTTACAAAAATCTAAAAGATTTTCATAAAATAATAATGTCCAAAATATAAAATTTCTCCTAAGACCCCGCCAGGGGGCAGGGCTGTCGCCCCTTGGCCTCCCTACCGAGCCTGCCGCCCCCGGATCCACGCTATAAAATTGTAATATCGTTGAACCAGTGTGCACTTCACACCTCTTAATTAACTCGTTTGAGAACGTCTAATCCAAATGTTGTTTGATCTACGTAAACCCAATTATATTACGCAAAATAGGTCATCACACTAACATCACTAGCTAGCACATATATTTATATGGACTATATTATTATCGCCATGCCTCCCGAGAATTCTTAAAGTTTCTAGGTTGTCTATGCTCACTAAATATTCTAGATTGTCTGCATTAATCAACGTGACTAAACTGTAATTTCTAAATAATGGCTCAAATAATAGTTCCATAGGTTCAAAGTTAATTTAATCCAACTCTCCAAATAAAGGTGTACAAACTTACTGGTCATATATATAACTTGTTGCATATAATTCAGCCCTCAGAATCCATTCTCCCAATCAAGTAAGGCTCCTTTACAACTCTGCATATTGTAACTAATAAAATTCCAAATATAAAAATCAACAATGAGTCCCTTTGGCTTCACAACCATCATGTATGAGTTAACCAAATTTATTATAGTCATTATTATTACTACTATTATTAATATTTCTTTTATTATTATTTCTATTATTATTATTATTACTATTATTAGTTTTAATCAAATTTATTATTACTTTTGTTATTATTGTTATTTCTATTACTATTACTATTGTTATTATTAATATTTCTATTATTATTATTACAATTATTACTATTAATTATAATAATAATTTTAAATTTAATTTTGATCAAATTTATACTCCCTCCGTTCCATAAAATCCTTTTTCTTTCGTTTTTTCCCAATTCCTTAAAACACTTCCACTTTCTATTAAAAAACCACTTTTTCCCCTACTTTATTTTTCATACCCTACATATCACATCATATTTTTTCACTAATAATCAAACTATCAAATCTTACTTTTACCCATCAGATCAGGGACAAAATGTTGGGGAAATTAACGGAAAAAAAATTGGATGAATCGAGAGTTGTGTATAACACTTTCAGATTGAATATTTTGGTTGTTCACTCCAAAATTCAATCGGATAAAACTCGAAGATATCAATAACGAGTATGAATTGCTATGAAATTTCCGAACGTAATTCCGACCATGGCTTGCGGGAATTTATAAACTTGCGGTGAGAAGGAGAAGACACCATCGCGTCTATTACCCAAAGCACGCAACTCTTCGGCGAAAACTCCTTCGAAAATCAGCGCTATCCGTAACGAATTTTTCCTTTAAAGGAAATTCGAAAATACAAATTCAAATGAATTTTTTAACATAGCATTTTGCCCAAAATAAAAAATTTTCTAACTGACCTGGCATCTCGACCCCAGCCAGGGGCTCTGCCCCTTGGACCCCACAGGGGCTGCCGCCCCTTGAACCCTGCTCGGGGGCGCTGCCCTCGAACCCCCGCCAAGGGGCCGCTGCCCCCTTGGAACTCCCGATGTAACGAGATTTTTATCGTAACAAACTCAATGAAGCGTGCACTCCGCACCACCAAACTTCTTTGATGATTATTAGGGTACCATTGGTCATAGTTTTTCCAATTACACTAAAATATATAACACAAAATTGGAAAGTCAACCAAAATTACACTTTCCTTATTTTGGCTCAAAGTCAAAATAGGAAGTGTTTAAAGGAACGGAGGGAGTATGATGTAAGATCTAATCAGATCAAATTAGATCAGATATAATCAGATCATATCTTCAAAAAATCAGGTCAAATCAGATGAACAGAGCGCAACCTTAAATATATTTCATCTTATACTTCTTTCGTCCCATAAAACTTTTCAAAACCGAAAAAAGGCACCCCTAAAAATGAATTATTTTGATATTATTTTCTAATAATGACTCATCTATCATACACATTATATCAGATTTTATTGTTAAGTACGGGAAAAATTGGAAAATAATATCAAAATTATACTCCCTCCGTTTCTTAAAACGGTTCTTGTTTTGACTTTGAGGCAAAATAAGGAAAGTGAAATTTTAGTTGACTTTCCAATTTTGGCCTTGATGTGATGGGTAAAAGTAAGATGTGTTAGTTTAGTTATTAGTGAAAAAGTATGATGTGACAGGTAGGGTATGAAAAAGTAGGGGTAAAAGTGATTTTTTAATAGAAAAAAGAAGTGTTTTAAGGAAAACAAAAAAAATGAAAGAGAAAGGGTTTTAAAAAATGGATGGAGTATATTTTTAAGGCACACTTTTTTTTCTTTTTGAAAAGTTTTATGGGACGGCTATATTATTAAAAAGTATTCCTAAAAAAGGATGTTAAATCAAATTTAAAGAATCCCAAATTTAGAAAATAGATTTGGAGAACATGAAAGTTAAAGACCAAGAAAATCTTAATTACCTTCTTCCCAAGAAAAGTCAAAGTTATAACGAAGTCTTAGTCCACAGGAGACTTAAGACAAAGTAATTAGTCCCATTGCCGCATGTCTTAAAGTGTGTGAATTAAAGATTAATTATGTGGTGTTTAAGATTGATGATCATTGAGATGCTAATCGAATTACATGTAATGTTTAATACTTCCTCTCTCCTCAAAAAAATGCTATATTATCCAAAACGAAACAAGATTTTAAGTGATTTTAATTCATTTTATATAGACACTATTATAAAAATAAAAATTAATTTTTCTGTCCCACAAAATCGTTTAATTTTCTTATCTTATCCGTCCCATAAAATATTTCAGTTTTTCTAAAATAGACTAAAATATTTCCTTTTAATCCTACTTTCCCATATCTAATCTATAGCATCTCATCTTTTTGTTTTTTAATTAGTCATTT